GTGGCGATGATGATGGAAAAGGCCAATGACGGCGCCGATGCTGGTCACCCCGATGACGGTGATGGTGCCCACGTGTCGGTGATGAAGGTTTTGGAAGGATTTCGACATGCGCGCGCGGCCGCTGGGCGCGAGTGGCCCGCATTGTGTTATTCGGCATGGGTCGTGTCCCCCCAGCGCGCGCGCGCGGGTGTTCGAAAGATCGCGGTATGCGCGCGTGAGAAGCCCGCTTGGTCGCATGTGCCGAATATGATAAACCAAAACCGATGGATGCTCTGAGAATTAATAAGAACGCTCGGGCAATTTTTCCGTTGAAAACCCTGTTGCGAATTCATTGTTTTTATTACCTTCGGAAACCTCGATCTTGAATCCAAACAGGTTCTTTCGAGGATTCCGGCATGCGCGCGCGACGCCGCGCGCGTGTGGACCTCTTTCCCCCCAAAAAAAGAGCGACTGACCACGGATGATTTTTTATAAACGAGTGCGCGCGCATTGTATTATTTGACATGGGTGAAAAAGGGGGGGGGGGGTACTGGTTTGGCTGGGATAGTACGAGTAACGATGGGGCATCATCGCTGGTAATGTGTACTATCCCAAGGGGAACCCATCAACTAGGGGGGGAGTAGATCCCAGATTCTGTTTGGCAAAAAGAACCTATGTGGAGCAATCGATGTGGTGCAACCTGTGTTGTGCAATCTGTGTGGTGCAACGTGTTTTAACAAACGAGTTGACACATCCCATGCTCTTGCGAACGTTCCACCCACCCCCCCGCAATTTGGTTTGCACAACCCATGCGGCGGCGATTGCGATGACTGCTTCGCGCTGGCTGGCACATTGTTGTGGCCGCGCCAACCCAAGCACGCGCGCGCGGCGACCAGCTAGTTTGGCGCGCCCAACGCGGCCGCGGTGGCGCTGACCGCTGGGGGCATCCTAGCGGGCACTTCGCTGCGACTCGGCGACTTGGGCGGGCGCGGTATCACGGCAACGCCGACAACGGTAGACACGATGATGGTAGTAGCGATGCTTGTGGCCATGTTGACTACGACGACGGCGCGGCCAGTGCGGCGTCGGTGCTGATCACGCCCACGACGATGACAGCGTTCTATCGCCGGTGAAGGTTTTGGAACAAATTCGAAATGCGCGCGCGGCCGACGCGCGAGAGTGGCCCGCATGGTTTTATTTGACAGGGGTCGTGCTCCTCCCAGCACGCGCGCAAGGGCGCGTAAATGCTGTCGGCATGCGGCGCCATAAGTCCATTTGGCAGAATTCCATGAACATGTTGAAAAGCCGATGGTTTCCCCAAAATTTCGCGAGAGCGCGAACGCACGATTTTTTGACCATTGGTGTTGCGAAGCCATACGTTTTTGTATGTTTGTTTTGGAGATTCGGTTTTGACATCGTTACGATTCCGAAGGTTTTTTGGTGGATTTCGGCATGCGCACGCGCCGACACGCGCACGTGCACTTCGACTTTTCTGTTGCAGAATATTCTCGCGACGGCACGCGCGCGAAGGCGTTCGAACCATCTCGACATGCGCGCGCGAAGCCCGTTTGGTAGCATTTTCTGTTGAATACTCGGAAGTTTCCTTAAGAAATCGCACAAAAAATCAATCATGCCTAAAAAAAAAAGGAAAGGAAAAAAACATAAATACGAAAATAATTGCAATACACCAAAGAAAAAGACTCCGTCAAGCATGAAAGAAAAAAATAGCGGTCCAAGAAAACTAGAGCCTATCCGACGGAAGTTGAGAAAAAAAAAAAATAAAGCGGAAACCGCATCGAGCCTAAATAAAATCCAAGAAAAAAAAAGAACGACAACGAATATTCGAAGCAGTTTGATCCTAAAGACAAGGAAAAATCATCATCAGGCGAAAAAGCGCAAGTAAAGCGCACAAGTTTTTTTTGAGCATCCGTGTTGCGAAACCTGTGTTTTTATTTGTTTTTGGGACACCCGATTTTGAAACTTTTGCGACGACGCGATTTTTTGACAGGTTTCGGCATTCGTGCGCGACGACGCGCTCGTGTGCATTTCGTCTTGTATTTTTGCAAGGGGTTCTTGGAAACTTGTGAGTATTGATAAACGAGTGTGCGCGCATAGTTTTTGTTTTCGCAAAAACTTGCCAAGAGGGCCGGTACATGTTGGGCTGGGATGTATGAGTTCATATTTCGGATGGACGATGGGGCCAGATCATATGCAAATTGCAATACGAAAAGGGGAACGGCAAATCCCATGGGGGGATATAATATACTACTTATGTTTTATTCCAGAAAGGAAAAGCTATGGGGTGCAATCGATCTTAACAAACGAGGTGACACATCCCATGCTCTTGCGAACGTCCCACCCACCCACCCACCCGCAACTTGGTTTGCAAAACCCAGGCGGTGGTGATTGCGATGAGTGCTTGGCGTCAACTGGTCCATCTCTGCGGCCGCGCCAACCCAACCGCGCGCGCAGCGGCCAACTAGTTTGGCGCGACCGACGCGGCCACGGCGGCGCTGATTTCTGGGGACATTCTAGCGGGCACTTCGCTGCGACTCGGCGACGTGGGCGGGCGCGGTATCACGGCAACGCCGACAACGGTAGACACGATGACGATCGTCGCGATGTTGGTGACCATGTTGACGACGACGGCGACGGCGCGGCCAATGCGGTCGCCGATGCTGATCACGCCGGCGACGATGATGGCGTCCTCGCGTCGGTGATGAAGGTTTTGGAAAGTGTTCGACATGCGCGCGCGGCCGAGTTGCCCGCATTGTTTAAATTAACACGGGTCGTACCCCCCAGCACGCGCGCAAGGGCGTGTAAATGATGTCTGCATGCGGCGCCAGATTTCAATGAACACGTCGGAAAACCGCATAATTTCCTCAAGAATTCGCAAGAGCGCGAGCGCACGCTTTTTTGAAAACTAATGTTGCGAAACCATGTGATTTTGTAGGTTTTTCGAACACTCGGTTTTGAAATCGCTACGGCACCGAAGGTTTTTGACGGATGTCTGCATGCGCGTGCGACGACGCGCGCGCTCATTTCGTCCCGTTTCTTTTTGCAAAAGGGTTCTCGCGACGGCACGCGCGCAAGGGCGTTCGAACGATCTCGACATGCGCGCGCTCGAAGCTCGTTTGGTAGCAGTCTGCGAAAATCCTGAACATTTTTAAATATAAGAAAGAAGAAAGGATTTCGCAAGATCGTGCGCGCAAGTTTTTTGTTTGAAAATCCGTGTTGCGAAGCCATGTTTTTTGTTAGACACTCGATTTTGAAATCCTTACGGAACCGAGTTGTTGATAGATTTCGGCATGCGCTCGCGACGACGCGCGCGTGCACTTCGTCAATTTTTTTGCTGGGGGTTTTTGACAACTAATGATCCTTTCTCTACGAATGCGCGTTCATTTTTTGGCAGAGGATGACGGGGGGGGGCGATACCGTCTGGGCTGGGATGGTACGAATTCATACTTAGGATGGACGGTGGGGCAGAACCACATGCAAATTGCAATGCGAAAAAAAGTGTCGATAATCCCAAGGGTGGGTAGAGCTTATTCTCTGTTTAGAAAGGAGAACCGACGAGGTGCAATCTCTGTTGTTCAGTCTGACAGGGCGGCGACGGCGACAATGTAGCTGCCAGACCGACCTCCAGGCCCAGACGACGGGCGGCAACGAGGCGGCGACGGGGCGGCGAAGGCGACAACGTAGCTGCCATACCGACCCCCATGCTCAGTTCCTTAGAACATAAACAACAAACCCTAAATGCAAGCACTGTTTGGGGAAACGGCTGAATTGACATCAGCTTTGATCTTGGGGCCACTCCCTTGCTAGGGGCCTCCCATAGGTGGGGTCCGATTAGATGGGATCGGAGGACCGCGCCGCATCGCCACTGCATCGCCGATGCCTCGGCGACGTCGGTGGCGTATCGGCGACGTCGGCGTGGAGAACATCGGGCTCCGCATCGCGCCGCATTGGCGATGCATCGGCGATGCGGCGCGGTCCTCCGACCCCATCTGCTGCGACCCCATCTGGGAGTCCTAGGCTTGCGCAGCGCACTCTCATGTGGCGGCGCGCACAAGGGGGTACAGGGGGAGGGGGGAAGGCTTCTTAGAAGGAGGCTACATCTTAGAAAGCGCGGGCCTTACATCTACAGGCCAGGCCCGCGCCGTCTAAGAAGCAGAGATGCTTCGAAGAAACCTTCCCCCCTCCCTAGAGGCACAAACGAACGGCATAAACATGAACTTTCGGCGCTCCGCGCGGAGTTCTTGGATCCGCGCTGGACCCCATCCCTGGCGCGCGGAGCGCGCCACGGGCGGCGCTGGAGGCGCCGCCAGGGGGGGCCCATGCGCCGATACGACAAATCCGCGCGGAGCGCCACACCCAGTACAACGTTTCGTGGCCACATAGGGAGCTCCACGTAAGGCCCCAGTGGGGGTACCACATTGGGCGCCCGAGTTATCCGGGGTAACTCGGGTCCGGGGTAACTCGGGTTTGGATTCCCGAAAAAGGAACCCGAATTATCCCTGACCCGAGTTACCCCTGATGATTCTGGGGCTCTGGACGCCCGAGTTATCCGGGGTAACTCGGGTCCGGGGTAACTCGGGCTTGGATTCCCGAAAAAGGAACCCGAGTTATCCCTCGCCCGAGTTACCCCTGATGATTCGGGGCTCTGACCACATGCGTCCGCCAAACGTTTATGATTATGGCGTTTTCACTTCTTCGACTCCCCCCTCTGCGCGTGGCCGGACGTTTTTCCGGTGGGGAGCCCCGTGCCGCGCGCGCTGCTCTGGGCGGCGCGGGGTCTGCCCTCCAACCCTCGTGGCTGGAAGGCGCCAGCCTTGTCCGCTCGAAATGTTCGATCCTCCTTCTCCTCCTCCTCCTCCTCCTCGACCACAACCCCCCCCCTCACCCTCCTCCCTCCTCCTCCTCCTCCTCCTCCTCCTCCTCCTCCTCCTCCTCCTCCTCCTCCTCCTCTGCGCGTGGCCGACGCATCCGCGTGACAAGCGCCGGCCGGCTTCTGCACTCGCGCTGGCCTCGACCGCCTCCTGCAGCGCGGCTCCTCGCGGGCCGCGCGCTCGCGCGGGGGGCCCTCGCGAGCGAGCGGCGACCCGCCGCGGGAAGCCTCGGCGAGGTGGCCTCTGCGGCAGGGCCTTGGATATGCTCCAGGGACCTCCCTGGAGCTTCTCACTCTACTCGTGCTAGGCAAGCGCGTTCCACTACTCTGGAGGAAGAAGGAATGACATAAACATAGTCTTTCGGCGCTGCGCGCGGAGTTCTCGGATCCGCGCCGGACCCCTTCCCTGGCGCGCGGAGCGCGCCAGGGGCGGCGGCGCCGCTGGGGGGGCCCAGCGCAGATCCGCGAAATCCGCTCGGAGCGCCAAAAGTTTATGCTTATGGCGCTTTTCTCCTTCGAAGACGAGCGCGTTCCACTCGAAGGGGCCCTGGGACACACAAATAAATACACACAAATAACAAGATGCCCCATATTTTCGCATAATTTCTGGGGAATCCACGATTCATTGTGTCTGTGTGTTTTTCCCCTCCTGATAGGTTCTGGTCGCGCTCGAGGATCTATCGTCGCCCGGCCCCGAAGCGCCCCGAAAAGGGTCGGCCCCCCCCCCCGGGACTAAAAAGGGGATGGGGGGGGAATTTTCAAAAAGTGTGCCGCCCCTGGGGCCGGGGGCCCGCTTCCCCGTTATATGATATATAATACACCTATACGACCACCCTTCGGGTGATAAGGAGGTTCGGGGGGGGGGGAACCAACGTCTCACTCGATCGGTCTCACTATCGATCTCAGTATCGGTCTCGCTCGATCGGTCTCGCTCGATCGACCTCACTCGATCGATCTCACAATCGATCTCACTCGATCTATCTCATTCGATCGATCTCACAATTGATCTCACAATCGATCTCACAATCGATCACACAATCGATCTCACATTCGGTCTCAATATCGATCTCACGATCGATATCACATTCGCTCTCACAATCAACGTCATCATCATCAGCAGCATCATCATCATCGGGACAACATCATCTCCAACATCGTCATCATCATGAGGGCAACCGGCATTCTCATCATCACCACCATCAATCAATCATCTTCATCTTCATCATCACATCACCATCATCATCATCAACCCCCCCCCCCCCCCCCCCCCCCTCATAAACATCACTTCAACGCTGCTTCATCTCAGCATCGGACATTTCATCTCAATCACCAGCATCATCATCGGGACATCCATCATCGGCATCAGCATCAACTCAATCATCATAGCATCATCCCATCCTCAGCACGGACACGATCATTTTCTCGACAACACCAACAGCATCGCAATCGTCGATCGGGACACATCATCATCATCAGCATCTGCATCAGCATCTTCATCGTCAGCATCAGCCTCATCATCATCATCATCATCATCATCATCATCATCATCATCATCATCATCATCATCATCATCATCATCATCATCATCATCTCATCATCATCATCCTCGCGGGACACCGCGGGACACCGGCGGGACACCGCGGGACACCGCGGGACACCGCGGGACACCGCGGGACACCGCGGGACACCGGCGGGACACCGCGGGCCACCGGCCGCCTGGAAGGGAGTCATTTGGTCCGGCCGCGCCTCAGCCACACGGGTCACCAGCGGGACACCGGCGGGACACCGCGGGCCACCGGCCGCCCGGAAGTCCGGCCGCGCCTCAGCCACAGGAGACTTTCTCTCGCCCGCCCACGCAGCTTCGCCTCGCCTGCACGCACGGCACGCACGAATACGAAACCGAAATCGATTTCCCGGTAGGGGGGCTCTCCGTTCCACTTCGATCTCACCCCCTCACCTCCGATGATATATATATATATATATATATATATATATATATACTACTCGCAAGCTGCCTGGCTCCGCCGCGGGGGATCTACGATCCACTACATCGATGACAGCTCTGTCTTTCGGACGTTTGCGAGTAGGCACTTTGCGAGTAGGGGAACGCGCTCGGCGACATGCGTCGATGCTGCGTGGAATGCCCGTCGACTTGAAGCGAACTCTGGGATCGAACTGGAAGCGAACTGGAGTCGAACACGTCCGATGGGTGGGCCCCAAGAAGGTCCCCCAAACGAACGTCGAAGATCGTGTCGTGACAACTTCCTGCACATTGGTTTCCGGCACCGCGCGGATTGTTCAACACTTGAGCAGGGAACGACCGTCCCGGCATTCCTGTGGGCCTACCACGACATGTTCTCAGAACAGAAGAACGCTCTAAGAACAAAGACAGTGCTCCTAACACAGGGAGCCGACGTGTTGAAACAAGGCAGCTTCGGCCAGAGATCTTCTGCGAACATGTTGTGCTGCCCACAAAAAGTTATTAGAACATTCTCTGGTGGTCCCATCATTCGGTCGGGCATGTCCTCCTACAGGCGGATCTTGGACGGAAAATCAGAAAGAGTCAACAAATGCTCAAGAATGGCAAGAGATCGTGGGAAACTCGTCCCCAGACTATCTTTGGACTATTTTCGAATATTCTTCCTGCAAAGGGACGTGCCCGACTTAATCCTATACGGTAGGTTCGTGCGGCGTCGGCGCGCGCCAAGGTTTTTGACACCGCGTCGATCATTCAACCTTGAAGCGATCGCGGCCCCGATCGTTCAAGGTTGAACTCCGTCGGGCCCAATGGCGTTATCGTGTCCCTCGGTGCTTCCGCGTCGCCGGTGCGCCAACGCCGCGAGAACCTACCTTTAAGTCGGGCGTGTCCCCCCACAGGGGGATTTTCGACGAAAAATAAAAAAGTACTCCAAGAATGCTCCCAATGTTCAAAACACACTAAATAACTAGTCCTCAGACTTTTTTGTGTGAAAAAACATTTCTGAATTTCCACCCTGAAGAGGGACAGGCCCGACTTAATTCTACCTTAACATAAGAACTTTCGAATGTCCGCGCGACCTCCCTGGATCGGCGCTGGGCCCCCCACCCGAAGGGGCGGCGCGCCCGGCAGGGGCCGCTTTCGGCCCGATCGCCAAAGAGGTCGCGCGGACACTTGACAGTCTGAGGAGGGAGATAGGAAGAGAGGAGAGAGGGAGCGAGAAGCAGTGCAGAAAAAAGAGAAGTGAGAGAAAGGAAGAGAACGAGGTGAGAGGAGGGAGGGAGAGAAAGGACGAGAAGGAAGAGGGAAGAGAGAGAGAAAGAGAGGGAGAGAAGAGAGGAAAGGATGGCCGGCATCTCATCTTTATGCTTAATTAGGTCGGGCGTGTCCGTCTACAGGCGGACTTTGGACGAAAAACGAAAAATAGCCAAACAGATGTTCAAACAAATCAAACATACTACAAAAATCGCCCCCTGACAATTTTGACGATTTTTGGATATTCCTCCTGTAAAGGGACGTGCCCGACCGAACTTTATGGGTGAGTTAATCCACAGCCCGCGCCGCCTCCTCTGAGGCGAGCGCCTCCGCCGTAGGAGAGGCAACTGGATCGCTGATGGCAGTGCCCGCTATAAGAAGCCGGCCGGCGCTTGTCACGCGGATGCGTCGGCCACGCGCAGAGGAGGAGGAGGAGGAGGAGGAGGAGGAGGAGGAGGAGGAGGAGGAGGAGGAGGAGGAGGAGGAGGAGGGTCGAGGGGGAGGGTCGAGGAGGAGGAGGAGGAGGAGAAGAAGGAGGAGGATCGCTGATGGCAGTGCCGGCTACAAGAAGCAGGCGAGGGCATTCCATCGAACCGCGGTGCGTCACAGCCTCCACGCGTGAAGCGGCTGCAGCACACGCCTCTGCTCGAGTGCCGCCGTCGCTGTGGAGCATGAGGCCTGCTCTGGTCAGATCCAGCGAACCCTTCGGGAACTTTTGATACCAAGATTTCTTCTCGTCCACTGTATGGATGACCAGATCGTTGCTTTGGCATTCCAATCGCGCTTGTGTCATTCAATGACGCAATATGAATGCTACCCTACTCTCTCCCCTAGTTGTGATCCCCCGAGCCCGCCTCGGGGTGCGATCCTGGGAGAAGATCCCTGATTGCGGTCCCGGGGGGGGGTCCTGGGGGGTGTCCCGAGGCCAACAGGGCCCACAAGGGCCACACGAGGGCTCGCGAGCGTCTTCGTGGTCGTCGTCGTCTTCGTCGCCGCCGTCGTCGTCGTCGTCGTCGTCGTCGTCGTCGTCGTCGTCATCGTCGTCCCCGTTCAGGGTCGGCGGCCTCGGCCGTAAGGCCTTCGCAATACTGCACTCCTCGTCGGTCAGAAGAAAGCGGGTAGAAACATGACGTAGGAAAACGTTGCAATCAGTTTGGGCTTCCGCACTCCCCCTGAAGAGGACGGGAACAGAACATCCACACGCCCCTGGAAGTTGGAAGACGCCTGACATAGATTGGGATCAAAGAGCCCAAGGATATCTACTTCCAACGACCGGCGTGCAAGGCCTGCGCCATCCTACTCTCCTCTCCCCCCCCATCGGTGACCCGCCTAGCAGAGACCCCCTTCACCCTTCCGCAGCAAGCCGCCCACCTGCTGCTGCCGACGGGGGGGGGGCGTCCTTTCGCCGGCGTGGCCATCTGGGCGTCGGTGCCCTGGACCGGGAGGCGAGGGGGGCGGGGGGGAGGGAGAGGGGAAAAGGGGGAGGGGGGGCAGGTGGAAGAGGATGGAGGAGAAGGAGGTGGACGTGGAAAAGGGAGAGGGTAGGTGGAGGTGGTGGAGGAGGAGGGCGCCGGGGGGAGTCGCAACGCAGAACCCCCCCGCGCGCGCGCGACAGGACCAGGCTCCCCTCAAAACAGCCGGGCCGTGGGAACCGCGACGCTGGCCCGCCGGGCGGCGGCCGCGCGCCCGGGCTTGCAAGGGGAGGGCCGGACATCGCAAAAATCCCGCCTCGCCAGCAGAGCGCGAGGTGGCGGGGCTCGCGGCGCGAGGGGTGCTTCTCGGCGAGCGGGGGGCGCCCGCCCCTCGCGGTGCCGACGCGGGGCGCGCAGGCGAGGGCGCGGCACTCCCGCGAGTTCGCTGCGGCTCGCGGGGCGCGCCTCGCCCCCCCCCCGAGCGCTTCTCTCTCTAGACGAATAGCGGGCGCTTCAAAACTTCAGACTAGATCATCTGCGCTCAATGACGGCGGCTTCGCCGTCGTGGGCGCGGGGCTGCTCCGCGGCCCGGCAAACGAATCGGTCGGCAGCTCTCTTATGATGGACTCCATCGCCAGACAGACGCACGTTGACAGCTTGGGCCTGGGTGGGGCGACCTTGAATCCACGGTGCGTTGATATGGCCCCCTCGTTCGCCCAGGGCCTTGTGAACGAGGGCCCGTGCATCCGGCGTGCCCGATTTCGATTTCCTTGGGGTCTTCAAAATCCGATGATCTCTTGTAGCAACTGCCGTGCAATCACAGTGCGCTCGAACGTCCTCAGTTGTGGCCATGGCCAGCTGGATGAAGGCGATAAGCTCGGCGTGCGGCGACGGCCGGCGCGCGCGGGGCAAGGGGCCGCGATTCCCGGCGACGGCCCTCCCGCCGGCGCCTCGGCGGATGATGTGGCAGCAGCGCCTGCGCAAGCGCGATCCCTTAGAACGCTTCCCCCCGACTCGTGGATATCCCAGACCACCCCGCGCTCTTATCTCCCCTCAAGAAACGCCCCCAGACCTGGGGGCGCCCCCGAGGCGAAAGAAGCTTGCCCGCAGTGGCCTGCAGAAGGGGGGCCCGCGGCACCAGAGACAAGCCTTATCAGTTTGAGCAACAACGAGATCGGCCAAACCATTGGAACGCTCGAACGAACGGTCAGGAATGGAATCATTGCAGAAGCACTTCCATCAACGGTGAACTGGGGTCCTGGCAGAAGCGCCGCACCTACTGCACTTTCCAGCGGTACCTGACTCATAGCCGGCGCTGTGCAGCCTGTCCTCTGGCCGAAAGCCCGCGTTCAACTCGTTCCTCAGGATGCCTGTCGCTTCGTACTCGCCATCTCGAAAGAGCTCGGCGAAAAATCCGAACAATGAGGTCGCCCCACCTTCCGCTCCTGCTTCGCACGAATGCTTGGCAACACTGCTCCGCGAGAAACCAGAGCAGGTAGCCAGCAGGGCCGGTGATTCGCAACTGCTCACCCTTGCTAGGGCGACAAAAAACATGGGAGACGAGGACTCGCTCGAGGTCCGAGACAACCGCCAAGGTCGCCGAAATGGGTCCCGTCTAAACCTGCGACAGGTACTTAGTTCGGTCAAACTTGTCCAACGCAACCTGCCAGACCTGAGCATTCTGCACTCGATGCTTCGGACCCAGATCATTCCAGACATTGCAACGCGGTCAACTTCTCGTACCTGAAACGAAATCTGCGGATCGTCTTTCGAGCTGCCGACCAAACCCAACACAGTAGTGGTGCACGCACCAGGGGTCCACTACCCAGAGCACGTGAGAGCCTGAACCCTCATCGACTGGACCTGGGTAAGAGACAAACCTAGAACCTTATGGCCCCAGGATTCAACAGCCAGGGCCCCAGGCCTGTAACGCCTGCTGACACAGCCGACCAGCCAGGACAACAGTAAACCTTCTTGCACTTTTTGAATTCAATGGCGCGCCCCCGCTAGAGCTGCTGAGTGGCGCGTCTCTGCGCCGAATTCGTGTTGACGCCAAGTTCTTTAACATCACGCCTGCTCTGAAAAAAGGGGAGGCCAGCAATCTTGTACCAGGCCATACTCTCCTCGCCCAGCTTCTTAATGGATGCCACGAGCACAATCTTGTCGGCAATGAACGCTCCCGCGGCCTCGAGCTCGTGGCACAGCGACACGTCATCACGCACGAAAAAACGGGAGACGGACAAGGAGGATGATGATGAGAAGGTGGAAGAGGAGGGAGGAGGTGTAAATGGGAAAGGGAGGAAGAGGAGGGATGATAAGGAAAAGGTGGAGGTGGAGGAAAAGGAAGGAGGACGATGAGGGGGAGGAGGAGGGAGAAAACGCGATCGCCCGAACACGCCTGTTGTCGCACAGGTCGACCCAAGCGGCGCCCATGCGTGGTGCGCTCCCATGAGGAGACCCGTGTGCCCGCGCCACAGCCATCAACCATAGCCCGGCATTAGCAAGACGCGCTGGTGCAGCGCGTGGAGCCGGTCTGCAACAACTACGACACCGACCGGATCATCCATAATCCGTGTGCTCGCAATTTTCAGGCGGCTGGGAAGACGAGGCAACTCGCAGCGCAGCGCGGCGTCGCTGGGCAGCTGCATGCACAAAGGCAGCGCGTATTTGAGCTCGGGCGGGAACTGCACACATGGGAAGTGTTGTGGCAATTGGGCCGTTGGCCTCTACAGGGATGGGTGTCTGACCTCCATGCTCCTACGGACTGCAGTTGCTGACTGCACAAGGAAAACTACGGCTGCGAGGACCACGACTACGCCGACACCGGTGCCAGCGACTGCACCGAGAACCTAAAAACAAGACAGCACAGGCCGCACCAGCGCAGCAACCCCTGATGTCTGCCAAGACGCCCTGTGCAAGGGGGGGGCGCGAGCAGCTACCTGAGACAACAGTGCGTAATGGACTGGCCTCGATAGCCAATCCTCCTCGCGCCCGCGCCGGGGTTGTCGGCAGTGGCCTGCTTCCAGCGGGCAAGGGCGAGCGCACCTCCCACGGGACAATTGTTGTAGCGCAGAAGCCGCCGATGACCGATGAGCCGTTGTGTGCGGAGGGGGGTGCCCAGATACTGCGGCGAATACTTATTAGAGACAATCAGCCCGGTGCTGTCGACATGTCGGGCATCCAGGCCACCTTCTTCATGTTCGGACCCATCGAAACCATTGACGCCAGGCACGGCCAGGTCACCGTGCGATGCTCGTCCGCCGAGCCCGCCCAGAAGGCAGTGGACCGCCTCCAAAGCGCCATATAGTGGAACCAAGTGTTGAATGTTGCCATCATGCGCCAAAGTGAAGGCAGTGCCCAACTACTTGAGACAGCAACAGCACACGTCATAGTGCAGCAACCCCTGATGACTTCGAAGTCGCTCTGTGCAGGGGGGGACGCAAAGCTACCTCAGCCCGCTGACCAAGACGGGGGCCCGCCTGGCGACCATACTGGACCAAGCAGCTGCGCCTCGAAGAGGGCTCGCGGGGAGGCCAGAAAGGCTGAGATGGAGGCGGACGAGGCGGTGTTGAATGAGATGAACCTCGTCGAAGCCGAGGCCGCGATGGAGCACATCGCCGGCCTGCCAGCGGACCGAAGGCGCCAGATGCCAACTCTCGGCGTCCCCAGCCTTAAGTCGGGCGTGTCCCCCTACAGGGGGATTTTGGGCGAAAAATAAAAATATTCAAAACATACAACCAAATAGTAAAAACATTGTAACAAAAATAGTCGGGGGACTATTTTTGGAGCACTTTTTGACCATTTGGGCATATTTTTTTTTGGCATGTTTATTTTTTCGCCGAAAATCCACCTGTGGGGGGAAGAAGCCCGACTTAACCCCTGCCCGAGCCCTGAGCCCCGACGACCTGCGCCGCGCCGCCAGCGGCGCGCAGGCCGCGGACCCCCTCAGCGCTCTCGCTCGCCCGGCCGAGCCGAGCCGCGCCCGGGGGAGGCCGAGCGTGGAGAGCGCCCCCTCTGCTGCTCGGGGGCCGAAGAGCGGGGAGGGGAGAGGGAGGGGGAGGGGGGAGAGGGAGGGAGGGAGGGGGGGCGGGAGGGAGGAGGGAAGGAAGGAGGGGGAAGGGAGGGGAGGGAGGGAGGCGGCCGACGAGCGGGGAGGGGGGGAGGGGGGAGGAGGGGGGGGAGGTAGGGAGGAGGGAGGGGGGGAGGGGGGGAGGGGGGAGGGGGGAGGGAGGAGGGGAGGGGGCCCACCGCGGGCGGGCGGGGGGGGGGGGGGGCTGGGCTCACCTCTTCCACCTCCCTGCTCGCCTGCCGCCCGCCCCACTCTGCACTTTAGCCAGCGCCCGCGCCCCGGGCCAGGTGCTTCGGTGGGGGGAGACAGGATAGAGAGAGAGAGAGAGAGAGAGAGAGAGAGAGGAGGTGTGAGGAATCGGCTGCACGCAAGAGTGACCCTGGGTAAGAGTGACCTTTGGTGCGCGGCTTTTTGGGGGCCGCGTGGGGACCAAACCTGGGCGCGCAAGCCGTTACTCCTGCTTCGTTTTCAGCCATCTGGGGACCCATCTGTGCCCGCACCAAAGGTCACTCCGGCGAAAGGTCAGTCTTACGTCTAGTCGAAAGAACTGCACGAGAGCGACTCCAACCACCGTGCCGCCGATGCCGCCGAAACCCGCTTGGAGAACCCCTCCTGGGGGTTCCCGAGGGGTGCGTCGGCTGCGTTCGCTGGCCCCTCCCTCCCCTCCCCCGCCCTCCTCCGTCGTGCCTGGTGCTACCCTTGGCCCCTCCTCCACTCTCTCGCTTCTCCGCCTCCCCTTTTGGATGATGGGCTGCCCACGTTTGTAGCCCCCGCGAGCCCCCCAGCGCTGCTCTGCTGCTGGGAAGCAGAGGGGCAGGGGCGAGGGTGCCAGGGCTTGACCCAGAACCGCCCGCAGCTTCGAGGCCTCGAGGAGGACGCTGGGGGTGGGAGGAGGGGGGACCAGCAATAACGAGTTGGAGCAGGAGGAGGCTGAGCGAGAGGGAGGAGGAGAGAGGCGGGAGGCAGGACTGGCAGCCAGACCCTGACCCCCCGACGTCCTGATTTCTGTTCACGTCAGCCCCAAAGATCTGGACCTCTCCTCTGGGACTGGTTTATCACCCCGAAGTATGTTCTGACGGTCGCGGGCCAGACGAAGGCCCCCCCGTGGCCGAAACACGCTGAAAAGGCGTCCCCGCCGTACTTTTCCGCAACGCGCAGAGGTCTGGCTTTCGGGCCACAACTCGGCCCTCCGTCGGTCGTTCGGGGCGATCCGGGCGCCCCCTGGAGCGCTCCCGACGAGGCGCAACTGCTGGAGGGCACCCCGAGGCGGGAAGTCTTCCGGGAACCGACGAACTCGACAAGGAGGAGCCTAGCCCAGCGGCCGAAGGCCGATGTGGGGGATAACTCGCCATCGCTCGGACGTCCACTCCCCGTGCATTCCTCGGTTTCGTGCGCTTTTTTGTTGTTCTTCTTCTTCTTCTCCTCCTCCTCCTTCTTCTTCTCCTTCTCTTTTTTCCCGCAAGATGATCCAAGGAGTTCCTTGATGGTTCTCGCCGAAACAAAGATGCACACGTCCGAGCGATGCCAAGAGAAAAGGGGTGAGGAGGCAGAGGATAACGAGGAGGAGGAGGAGAAGACGGAAGAGGAGGCGGAGGAGGAGGAGGAGGAGGAGGAGAAAGAGGGGAAGGATGATGCTGATGATGATGATGCTGATGCTGCTGATGATGATGATGATGATGATGATGATGATGAGGAGGAGGAGGAGGAGGAGGAGGAGGAGGAGGAGGAGAAGGAGGAGGAAGATGAGGACGAGGAGGAAGAGGAAGAGGAGGACGGGGAAGAGAGGAGGAGGAGGAGAGGAGAGGAGGAGGAAGGAGAGGAGAGGAGAGGAGGAGGAGAGGAGGAGGAGGAGGTGGAGGAAGAGAGGGAGAGGAGGAGGTGGAAGGAGGAAAGGAGGAGGAGGAGGAGAAGGAGAAGAGAGGGTGAGGAGAGGTGGAGGAGGTGAGGAGGAGAGAGAGGGGGTGAGAGGAGAGGAAGGAGAGGAGGAGTGGAGAGAGGTGTGAGTGAGAAGAGGAGGAGTAAGAGGAGAGAGAGAGGTGAGAGAGAGAGGTAGGAGGAGTGAGAGGAGGCGAGAAAGAGAGGAGGAAGTGATAGAGAGAGGAGGAGAGGAGGAAGAGGAGGTAGAGGAGGAGGAGAGAGGAGGTGAAGGAGTGGAGAGGAGGAGAGGAGAGAGAGAGTGGACAACGGAGAGAGGAAGAGGTGAGAGAGAGGAGAGGAGGAGGAGGAGAGGAGGAGGAGGACAGAGGAGAGACAACGACAGGGGAGGAGTGAGAGGAGAGGAGGAGGAGGAGAAGAGAGGAGAAGAGAGAGGAGAGGAGAGGAGGAGGAGGAGAGGAGGAGGAAGGAGAAGGAGGGAGGAGGAGGAGAGAGGAGGAGGAGGCGGAGAGGAGGAGGAGGAGGACAACGAGGAGGAGGAGACGGAGGAGGCGGCGAAAGCTCCGGCGGCCCGCCGCGGCAGTGGGCGGAGACCTTGGACCGCGGCGTCTCGGGCGTGAGGGCGGCGCAGCGGAGGCACGCGCCCTGCGGCCTTGCCGGGGCGGGGCTGGCGGGGGCCGGTGCGGCGGCCGAGGGGGTCGGCGTCAGGCCTTGGCTCCCCAGACCCCCTCGAACCATGAAAAAATCTCGACGGGAGATTTTTCGCCATTTTCGGCCTCTGGGGGCCCTTCCCGGGCCTCCGGACAGTTTAAAACAAATATTGGGATGAAAAACTGATCCCTGGGAATAGGTCGAAACCTCTGGGAGCTGACGCTATGAACAAATCGTTGCGTCGGAGGTTCGGGTCCTGCAGGACAACAGCAGCGCTCGGATCGACGAGGGGGCGAGGGGACCGAGCGGGGGCCCAAATACGAGCGACGCGGGGGCCAGAAGAGCCACCACACTTTCTCGGGGTGGGTGGGGGGTGGGGCCAGGGCTATGCACCGAGACCTTCCATCGCACTCGGGCGTCAATAACATACGACAATGGCCTTTTTCAGTTTCACTCGCCGCTGACACAATACCACGCTTCAGTAACAATTGCAGCGCACACCAGCAACAACCACCAGTTGCATGCATCACTAACAAAACCCATCATCAAACTGCTCCAATAACACACGCACACATCAACAACATATACCACTAGCATGCACCAACAACGAAAACACATAACACACTTCAAGGTCACATCGAAGCAACACGCACACACACACGCACTAAGAACATGCATATTGAGTCCTGACCCCCTTCGTGGGCTCGCCCGACGCAGCATCCGATTTACTATACAATACTTACCACCGTGGACCCGCAACGTTAACTTATTCCAGTGTGGGTATGCGAACTATATGGTGCAAAAGATGCCACCTTACGTGGCGTAGTATATGTGGTGTGAATTGTGTGGTGTGAGCTGCATGGTGCAAGCTATGCGGTGCAAACAATGTGGTGAAAGTGATTTCAACACACGAATTTACACATCCCATGCTTTTGCAAACATCCCACCCACCCCCCCGCAACTTGGTTTGCAAAACCCATGCGGTGGCGATTGCGATTCATGCTTGGCGTTGGCTGGTGCATCTCTGCGGCCGCGCCAACCCTAGCACGCGCGCGCAGCGGCCAGCTAGTTTGGCGCGATCGACGCGAACGCGGTGGCGCTGACCGCTCGGCACATACCACTGGGCACTTCAATGCGAGTCGGCGACTCGGGCGGGCGCGGTAACATGGCAACGTCGACAACGGTAGACACGATGATGATAATAGCGATGCTGGTGGCGATGCTGACAGCGACGACGGGGCAGCCAGTGACGGCGCCGATGCTGATCACGCCGACGACGGTGACGGCGTTTTCGCGTCGGTGATGAAGGTTTTGTTTGCGCGCGGCAAACGCGCGAGAGTGGCCCGCACGGTATTATTTGACACGGATCGTGCCACCCCAGCACGCGCGCAAAGGGGCTTTCGAACGATTTCGCCATGCGCGCGCGATGCCCGTTTGGTAGCATGTTATGAACATGTTGAAAACCGATGGTTTCTTGAGAATTCGCAAGAGCGCGCGCAAACTTTGTTTGGAGATCCGTGTTGCGAAACCCTATGTTTCAATATTTTTGAATACTCGATTTTGACATCCTTACCACATCTGACATTTTCTGGAGGATTTCGGCGTGCGCGCGACGACGCGCGCGTGTGCACTTTTTGCACAAGGGTTTCGTGGATGAACGAGTGCGCGCGCATAGTATTTTGTGCAAAGGATGACGAAGGGGGTCGATACCGGCCTGGCTTTTATGGGCGATGGGGCAGGACCATTTTTTTGTTGTCCAGCGCATCTTCAGGAGAAGGCGAGGGGAAGGGAAACGGAAGAGGACGCGGGCAGCCGATTAATTATCAACGTCCCTCAAAACTCAAAACTCAACGCAGTGTCGAAACCCTCGCACGAGCGCACGCTCTGCGGCAATTTGCCCAACGCGCATGCTGGAATGTGACACGCTGAAACAACCTAGCTGGGATTAGGGGGAAAACAAACCTCCCTCGCTTTTGACCACCCTCGCTTCCAAGAGATACCAAACGATGCCAAATTGCAGCCTGTACTGGTCAGGCCGCTTGACGAGGAGGCGCGTGGTATGGCTTGGTTTTGCCTGGAAGCGAAAGCGGGGTAGGTAATTCACGCTCTGAGGGATGCAGATTTCTACGCCCACGCGGCGGCCCACCGACCCGAGTACGCACGGCTGTATACCACGCCGCCAGAAAAACGAACTCGCGCGTGCGTACCCCTTAATTACCGGTGCAGACGGCGGGACTCGCACGGGTGCCCAAAACGCGAGTGGGGGACGGCAGAAGCTGGGGGGGAGGAGGAGGAAGAGGAGGGGGAGGATCGGGGAGACGTAAGACCCGGGTACGGGGGACTCGGAAATCCCCGACGAGGTCGTCAAAAAAATGACGAGGCCGAGCCTGCATTTTGACGAGGTCTCCCGCTGCAGACATCCCACAAAACTCCTCCTCGTCAAAATCCGAGTCGCGGTCGTCAAAAAACGATGGCGAACCCGAGTCCTGGCAAACCCGGGTCTTACGCTCCCCCGAGAGGAGGGATGAACAACTACAATCTTGCAGAAAGCCTCGATGCCGAAGCAGGGGAGCCAATGCCGAGAGCGGCTGGCGCACAGTACAGCAAACTGAAACAGCACGCGCATGGCGGTAAGTTTGATAATGAACTGCCTTGAAACATGAGTGCAACCTCATGCCGCCACCCTGAGGCACGCAACCATGCCGGCCAGGGGCCAGCAGGACATGCAAAATCAGAAGGGGCCCGGCGACCGGCGAGCTCCACTGCCGAAGCTCGGCGGAGGGCAGGCGCCGCTGTCCCTGCAACAGCCGACCTGCGTGCGGGGCGGACCAGCGCAGCGGAAGGTCGACCCCAGCCGCACCCATGAAACAAAAAACAACACATACAGGGCAGGAACCATGCATCGCTGAGTGGGGCGAGGGAGGAGGAGGAGGAGGAGGAGGAAGGTATGATGAGGATGAAGTACGGCGGTAGTGGAGTTGAGGAGGAGTCTGGGAATAGGAGAGTAGGAGGAGAGGAGAGATTGAAGGAGCGGCGTGAGGAGGAGGGAGGGGAGTGGGGCGACTGCACGCTCAAGTCGAGCGCTCGGGGCCTCCACGGCCGCCCACGGACCTGCCAGCTGGGATCCACAGATCGGTCCGCAGGGACGATGGGGCAGAATCATACGTAAATTGCAATACGAAAAGGGGGGGTCGATCATATCGAGGGGGTATAATCTTTTCTCTTTTTAGAAAGGAGAATCTATGTGATAAAAGCTATGCCGTGCAAGCCATGTGGTGCAAGCTATGGGGTACAAGATGCGCGTCCGCCCAGCACACGGGGCGCCCGCGAGGCTCTCGCGACTGGGCACCAGGCGGGCACAGGGAGGAACCTCGACATACCCTTCCAAATCCTGTGGCAACAGAAACTCGAACTCGTAAGTGCAACCGCTGCTTGGGAAATCTCGCAGCGCGACCTCTGCGCAGCGTGGACCCCAAAGGTCTGGACCCTTCCCTGGGACTGGCTTTTTCAGCCGGGGCTGTTCTTGGACGGCCCTGGGGACTGGCGAGGGCCCCGAGAAGCCGAAATCAGTCAAAAGCAGCGCGAAGTTTTCTGGGCCTCACTCCCTCCCCTCTTGGGCCCCCCCGTGACTTTCGGCCCGGCCCCCAGCCTGCGCCAGGGCAGCGGGCCCGGCTTGGGGCCGTGCCCCACGTCGAGGCCGGTGCAGCCTCGAAGGGCAACGAAAGGGGGGGGACTGGCACAAGGGGGGAGACATCGACCTGAGCGACGATCAAAAACGGGTCTTGCGCGAGATGACGTGGCGGCCTTTGCGCGGCGGCTTGCGCGGGCCGCTGGCGCGGCACGCCACATTGGCAGCGAGGGCGTTGACACGCAACCTGACGCGGGCAACTTACGCGACAATGTTGGCGAGGGTGAACCCGTCTTCTTGTGTCGCCCACCTGGAATCGGCGATGCATCGCCGCTAGATCGGCGATGGGCCCCCGATGGCGCATCCCCACGCTCCTGGGCAGACTGTGGCTATCGGACCCCTATCGGCGATGAATAGGCGATTGGGGGTCGATGCATCTCCCCCAGACCCCCGACGTCGTGATTTTTCCGAAACGTCGACCCCCAGAGGTCTCGACCCCTTCCCCGGGACCGGTCTTCCCTCCCGAGTCGTTTCTCGACGGTCCCGAGGCCCGGCGAGGGTCCACAGAGGCCGACAGTGGCGAGAAACCTGACCTCGTGATTTCTTCACAGCGCGAGGGGGTCCTGGCCCCCTGTGCCTGTGCCCCCCCGCTGTCTTGGCGGCGCGCAGACAGGGAATATGGGGGGGAGGGGGGAATGCTTCTCAGAAGCAGGCTGCTTCTTAGAAGGCGCCGGCCCTGCACTTACAGACAAGGCCCGCGCCTTCTAAGAAGCAGGGGTGCTTCTAAGAAGCCTCCCCCCCTGCCCCTGCGGCAAATTCGCGTCGTCTCGACCCCGGCACTGGTTCCTGACACCGCGGGGACCGCTCCGACTTGAACGATCAGATGTTCCGCGAACGCAGGATCGCTCAACGACGGGCCGATTCTTCCTGGGCCACGGGCGGCGTTTGACCTTGAACGCACACGCTGGGGTCGCCGCCGGTCGGCACGACGCGAACCTGCCGTACAGTCGGGGCGTTGACCTAAGGAACCCTAAATAAGGAACGAGGCCCCTTTTTTCGTAAGTTAAACTTCGACTTCCCATCGAAAACTGAAGGGAAACCTTAGGCAAGGTGTGGAACAACTAAGGAACATCGAGCCCCTCCCCGACGAGAAGGGTTCCTTCTTCAGGGCCCCGACTGTACCACCCTCTGCGCGTGGCCGACTGTCGTTGCCCCTGAGGCCTGCGCGCCGTCGCCACAGCCGTGCCACGGCGCCGCCGCCGGGCTCTGACCACAGCCGGTGCAGGCACGCCTCGAGGCGCGGGAGCCGGAGCGCCTCGGGGCGGGGCCACTCCTCCTCATTGCGTCCTCCGCCTCCTCCTCCTCCTCCGCCTCCTCCTCCCTGCCTCCGTCCTGCTTCCTCCCTCCTCCCTCCCTCCTCCGTCCTCCCCCCCCCCCTCCCTCCCCCACTCCCTCCCTGCGCCTTCCCTCCCTCCTTCCTCGTCCTCCTCCTCCCTCCCTCCCTGCCTCCCTCCTTCCTCGTCCTTCTCCTCCCTCCTCCTCCTCCTCCGCCTCCTCCTCCTTCTCCTCCTCCTCCTCGTTCTCGTTCTCGTTCTCGTTCTCGTCCTCATCCCACCTCCCTCCCTTCCTCCCTGCCTCACTCCCTCCCTGCCTCCCTGCTCCCTCCTCCGCATCCGTCCTCGTCCGCCTCCTAGTTGTCCTCGTCCTCGACCTCGTCCTCGTCCTCGTCTTCCTCCTCCTTCTCCTCCTCCTTCTCCTGCTTCTCCTTCTCCCTCCCTCCATCCCTCCCTCCCTCTCTCCCCTCGATGATCCGCAGGACGTGTGGTAGCCAATGCGCGTGCTTACACCGTTCAGCCTGGCCGATGGCAAGCAGCCCGTGTCGGCCTTCTCCTTGTCCCTCCAGGTAATTGGCGGCTGAGCAGGGAGGGAGCGAATCTTCCTTCCCCGCCCGACCGCGCCTCCTCGGAGGTGCTCGAAGACCGTCCGTCGTTTTTGTTTGTTTGTTTGTTTGCTTGTTTGTTTGTTGTTTTTCCCAACCATCCTGTGGTGTTGGGTCCTCGTTTTGAAGAGACGGCGCCCCGCGTTCCTCACCTCCTCCTCCTCCCCCCCCTCCCTCCTCCCATCATCATCATCATCATCATCATCATCATCATCATCATCATCATCATCATCATCATCATCATCATCATCATCATCATCATCATCATCAGCATCAGCATCAGCATCAGCATCATCATCATCATCATCATCATCATCATCATCATCATCATCATCATCATCATCATCATCATCATCACCACCGATTTCGGCACACCCCTCACACGCTTCGTGGCCCCATAGGGAGCTCCACCGAAGGCCCCAGTGGCAGGGTTCGCATGCCTCCCCACCACCAATTTCGGCACACCCCTCACACGTTTCGTGGCCCCATAGGGAGCTCCACCGAAGGCCCCAGTGGCAGGGTTCGCTGCCTCCCCACCACCCATCTCGGCACACCCCTCGCACGCTTCGTGGCCCCATAGGGAGCTCCACCGAAGGCCCCAGTGGCAGGGTTCGCATGCCTCCCCACCACCCATTTCGGCACACCCCTCACACGTTTCGTGGCCCCATAGGGAGCTCTACCGAAGGCCCCAGTGGCAAGGTTCGCATGCCTCCCCACCACCCATTTCGGCACACCCCCTCACCGTTTCGTGGCCCCATAGGGAGCTCCACCGAGGCCCCAGTGGCAGAGTTCGCATGCCTCCCCACCACCCATTTCGGCACACCCTCACCTTTTTCGTGGTCCCATATGGAGCTCCAACCGAAAGGCCCCAGTGGGCAGGCCTCTCATGCCTCCCCCTACCCCCATTCGGCCACCCCACACACTTTTTCGCGTCCCCATAAATTAGCTCCACCGAAGGCCCCATGGCAGGGTTCCATCTCCCACCACCCATGTCGGCACACCCCTCACACGTTTCGTGGCCCCATAGGGAGCTCCACCGAAGGCCCCAGTGGCAGGGTTTGCATGCCTCCCCACCACCCATGTCGGCACACCCCTCACACGTTTCGTGGCCCCATAGGGAGCTCCACCGAAGGCCCCAGTGGCCTGGTTCGAATGCCTCCCCACCACCCATTTCGGCACATCCCTCACACGTTTCGTGGCCCCATGGGGATTTCCACTGAAGGCCCCAGTGGAAGTGTTCGCATGCCTCCCACAAGCGAACCACCCATATTCTGCACATGGACGGAATTGTTCGTGGCCCCATATGGAGCTCACCGAAGGGCGCCAGTGGCGGGTTCGCATGCCTCCCCACCACCCTTCGGCACCCCCTCACACTTTCGTGTCCCCATAGGGACCTCCACCGAAGGCCCCAGTGGCAGGGTTCGCATGCCTCCCACCACGCCATTTCCGGCCCAAATTTGACCGCCTTCACACTTTTCGTGGCCCCATAAGGGCGCTCCACCGAAGGCCCCAGTGCAGGTTCAGCATGCCTCCCCACCACCCATTTCGGCACACCCCTCACACGTTTCGTGGTCCATAGGGAGCTCCACCGAAGGCCCAGTGGCCTGTTCGTATGCCTCCCCCAATTTTTTCGGCACACCCCTCACACGTTTTTCGTGGCCCATGGGGATTCCACTGAAGCCCTAAACAGTGGCAGGGTTCGCAAGATCGCCCCCACAGCCCATTTCGTTCGGCACACCCCTCACACGTTTCGTGGCCCCATAGGGAGCTCCACCGAAGGCCCCATGGCTGCCGTCCGCATGCGTCCCGCACACCCATTTCGGCACACCCCTCACACGTTTCGTGGCCCCACAGGGATCTCCACCGAAGGCCCCAGTGGCTGCGTTCGCATGCCGCCCCCACACCAACTTCGGTGCACCCCTCACACGTTTCGTGGCCCCATAAGGAGCTCCACCGAAGGCCCCAGTGGCAACGTTCGCATGCCGCCCCCACGCCCATTTCGGCACACCCCTCAAACGGTTCGTGGCCCCATAGGGAGATCCACCGAAGACGGTACTCACACCAGCATTACTCGCAACTGCATATGGTTGGGTCCTTCGCCAGGCTAATTTTTGAGTTTCCCGACTCCGGATGCCTGCCACTAGCTGCCTCGTCGAGAGCGGTCCCGGGTGCCTGGATCGCCCCGAAGGGCCGCGGAGGCTCGAGCGAGGCAGGGCGCGAGATCCAGGCATCCCCGCGTCGCCTCCCGGGGCCCTCGCGGGGCAGCGGGGCAGCGAACAGAAACGACTCGGCCCGAAGAGCTGGTCACGACGTTGGAGTCCCGGAGGGGAGCAGCAGGCATCACTGGGCTCGGGCATCGACCGCGCGCTGCTTTGGCGGAGAGGAGCTCTTGCTTGGCGTGTTTCGTGGCGGCGGCCCCTGTGAGAAACGCTATTGTGCCGTGCAGGCTGATCGCGTGTCGCTCTGTTTCGTGGGGTCCTGGGACATCACCAGCCTCGAACTTACCCCTATCCATAAGATTGACACGCCAAAAGGCGATGACAATCTTAGGGAGGCAACCTCAGAAACTGAGGGAATCCCTAAGATCGCCATCGTGATGAAGCGATGCCCAACACAGGGATAGGGACATGCTCCAGGCTGGTGAAAATTAGCCTGGCGAAGGACCCAACCATATGCAGTTGTGAGTAATGCTGGTGTGAGTACCGTCTTCGGTGGATCTCCCTATGGGGCCACGAACCGTTTGAGGGGTGTGCCGAAATGGGTGTGGGGGCGGCATGCGAACGTTGCCACTGGGGCCTTCGTGGGGCTCCTTATGGGGCCACGAAACGTGTGAGGGGTGCACCGAAGTTGGTGTGGGGGCGGCATGCGAACGCAGCCACTGGGGCCTTCGGTGGAGCTCCCTGTGCGGCCACGAAACGTGTGAGGGGTGTGCCGAAATTGGTGTGGGGGCGGCATGCGAACGCAGCCACTGGGGCCTTCGGTGGAGCTCCCTATGGTGCCACGAAGCGTGTGAGGGGTGTGCCGAAATGGGTGTGGGGGCGCATTTGAACCCTGCCACTGGGGCCTTCAGTGGAAATCCCCATGGGGCCACGAAACGTGTGAGGGATATGCCGAAATGGGTGGTGGGGAGGCATACAAACCAGGCCACTGGGGCCTTCGGTGGAGCTCCCTATGGGGCCACGAAGCGTGTGAGGGGTGTGCCGAAATGGGTGGTGGGGAAGCATGCGAACGCAGCCACTGGGGCCTTCGGTGGAGCTCCCTATGGGGCCACGAAACGTGTGAGGGGTGTGCCGAAATGGGTGGTGGGGAAGGCATGCAGCCCTGCCACTGGGCCTTCGTGGAGCTCCCTATGGGTGCCACGAAACGTTTTTTTGTGGGGGGAGGGGGGGTGGGGGGGTGAGGGGTGTGCCGAAATGGGTGGCGGGGAGGCCATGCGAACCCTGCCACTTGGGCCTCGGTGGAGCTTCTATGGGGCCCGAAGCGTGTGATGGTGTTCCGAAATGGGTGGGGGGAGGCATGCAACCCTGCCACTGGGCCTTCGGTGGAGCTCCCTATGGGGCCACGAACGTGTGAGGGGTGTGCCGAAATGGGTGGTGGGGAGGCATGCGAACGCAGCCCCTGGGGCCTTCGGTGGAGCTCCCTATGGGGCCACGAAGCGTGTGAGGGGTGTGCCGAAATGGGTGGTGGGGAGGCATGCGAACGCAGCCACTGGGGCCTTCGGTGGAGCTCCCTATGGGGCCACGAAACGTGTGAGGGGTGTGCCGAATGGGTGGTGGGGAGGCATGCGAAAGCAGCCACTGGGGCCTTCGGTGGAGCTCCCTATGGGGCCACGAAACGTGTGAGGGGTGTGCCGAAATGGGTGGGGGGGAGGCATGCGGACCCTGCCACTGGGGCCTTCGGTGGAGCTCCCTATGGGGCCACGAAACGTGTGAGGGGTGTGCCGAAATGGTGGGTGGAACCGCATGCAAGCGCAGCCACTGCGGCGTTCGGTGGAGCTCCCTATGGGGCCACGAGACGTGTGAAGGGCGTGCCGAAAAAGGGGGTGGGGAGGCATGGCGAACCCTGCCACTGGGTCTTCGGTGAGCTCCCTATGGGGCCACGACGTGTGAGGGTGTGCTCGAATTGGCGTGGGTGAGCTGCGAACCCGGCCACTGGGGCTTCGGTGGAGCTCCCTATGGGCCAGCGAAAGTGTGAGGGGTGTTCCGAACCGGTGGGCACGCGGAGAAGATGATGATGATGATGATGATGATGATGATGTAGATGATGATGTATATGGTATGATTTTATTTATGATTTGGATTATGATTTGATGATGATGATGATGATGATGATGATGTGGATGATGATGGGAGGGAGGGGGGGGGAGGAGGAGGAGGAGGTGAGGAACGCGGGGCGCCGTCTCTTCAAAACGAGGACCCAACACCACAGGATGGTTGGGAAAAAACTCGGAGAGTTGACGATTGGGGACTGGGACGTGCTCAGCGTGTCGCGCCGAAGCGTGCTTGGCGAGAACCGGCGACGCGACACGCTGGGCAACCGTTCCGGACTGCAGCGTGGAGGAAGCGGGCCCTGAATAGAAGAAGAACGAACGCCAGAAACGTAAACATTTCGGCGCTCCGCGCGGGTTTCTTGGATCTGCGCTGGACCCCCCTCCCTGGCGCGCGGAGCGCGCCAGGGGCGGCGCCAGAGGCGCCGCCAGGGAGGCCCAGCGCGGATCCAGGAAATCCGCGCAGAGCGCAAACAGTTGATGGTGATGGCGTGTCTTCTTCGTCGACTCAAAGAAAGAAGGATCCTGGACCTGTTCCCCGTTCTCAGGCCCCTGGGGATCTCCACGGGCCCTGGGACCGGCAAGAAACGACCGAGGTGAGGTCGGGCACTTCCCCCTACAGGCGGGTTTTAGACGAAAAGTCAAGCATGCTCCAAACATGTTCCCAAAACATTCAAACATAGTCAAAACAACGTCCCCAGGCTACTTTTGACTATTGTTGACTATTCCTCCTGTAGAAGGACAGACCCGACTTACGACTGAGGATGAAGGGCCCGGGCCTGGGGAGCTCCCCGGGGTCCGGGGCCAGTATGGCGCTCAAGACCCCTCTCCTCTGCGTGGCGCCAGCAGCTCGGCTACGCGCGAGAGTGAGTCTGGGTACGGCAGGAGGAGGAGGAGGAGGAGGAGGAGGAGGAGGAGGAGGAGGAGGAGGAGGAGGAGGAGGAGGAAGAGAATGCTGAGGACGGAGGATGGAGGAAGGAGGAGAGGAGGAGGAGGAGGAGGGGTGCGCGGCTCCTTGGGGGCCGCGGGGAGACCAAACTCTGGCGCGCAAGCCGCTGCCGCCGCTTCGCGTTCAGCGATCGGGGGACCCCCAGTGGGCCCGCACCAAAGGCCACTCCTGCGAAAGGTCACTCTTACGTCTGGTCCAGCTGGATGGGGCGACTTTCCACCACCACTACCAGATGTAGGAGAGGGAGGAGGAAGAGGAGGAGGAGGAGGAGGAGGAGAAGGAGGAGGAGGAGGAGGAGGAGGAGGAGGAGGAGGAGGAGGAGGAGGAGGAGGAGGGAGAGGAGGACCTCCTCATCCTCTCTTCTCCCCCGTCCTACCCATGGCAGCGGTGGTGCAGAATTGGCTCATCGGAGCTCGGACCCCTTTCCTCTGCACGGCGAGCAGCAGGCGTCGCGCCATCTGGCGCAGGCTGGGCTGGTCCGCGTGATGGGGGCCCCTTGTGTTGGTGCGCTCACGCCCTCTCTCCTGTCCGCAGAGCCCGTGCGGATCGGGCCCGAGCCCGACGAGGGCGGCGACCGCAGGCCCAGGGCTCGAGGAAGCAGCCGTCGCGGAGAGGAGCGCTGAGGGCAGGGGGAGGGAGGGACGGAGGGAACAGCGAGTGGGGAGAAACGAGGGACCTCCTCGCCGTCGTCGTCGTCGTCGTCGTCGTCGTCGTCGTCGTCCTCACCCTCCTCCTGGAGCATTGGGGCCCCCCTCGTCGCCGTGGCAGGGATGGATGGAGGGAGGGAGGGAGGGGAGGGGGGAGGGAGGGCTGGACGGCCAGAGGAGCGAAGGGGGGGAAGGGTGCAAGGAGGAATGGGCACCAAAGGGAAGTCTTGGCAACCGGGCACCCCTTGGGGGGGCGCGCCAAGGTGCGAGCTGGATTCCTTGCAGCAGGCACGTCGTGCGAGTCGCACTCTGGAGGGGCGAGCCCCTACGTGACAGTGCGCCGCCTGCACCAATAGGGAGGAGGGACAGAGGGAATCTAATAAGGATCAGAGCGAGGGCGGGAGGGCAAACACAGCATGCGTTTATAGGTATGTATGTATATATATACATATGTATGTTTAAGCATGTATACATGTGTGTGTGTGTGTAATGCGTAGGTGTAGGCACGTATGCAGGTATGCATATATGCATGTATGTATGTATGTATGTACGCTCATACATATATATATATACATGTATGCATGTACGCAGGTACACAGGTAAACAGGTAGATATGTAGATCGGCAGGTACGCATGCATGCATGTACGCACGTCCACACGCATGTCTGTATAGGTATACCAGCAAGCGTATATATATACACATATATTTATTCATATATATATATACATGTATGCATGCATGCATGTATGCATGCACGAATGTCTGTACGCTTGTTTGTTTGTCTGTATGTATGTTTGTATGTTTGTATGCATGCATGCATGTATGCATGTATGCATGTATGCATGTATGCATGTATGTATCTATGCATGTATGTATGTATGTACGTACGTACGTATGTATGTATGTATGTATGTGTACATGTATGTATGCATATGTGCGTTCATGTATGCATGTATGCATGTATGTATATATGCATGTATGGATGAACGTATGTATGCATGCATGCATGCATGTATGTATGTATGTATGTATGTATGTACGTACATCTGCGTGTATGTATGTATGCACGCATGTATGTTTGTACGCGTGTATGTGTGTATGTGTGTGTGTGTGTACGTGTGTGTGTATCCATGCACGTCTATCTGTATACCATACGTATACGTACATACAGAACAGCACACACATACTCACATCTACACGCTTACAACTTTTATGTATAACATAGCGGGAGAGAGAACGAGAGAGAGAGACAGAGAGAGAGAGAGAGAGAGACAGAGAGGACACCACTATCCCGAGAGAGAGAGAGAGGGAGAGAAATACCAAGTAACGAACAATAAACAAACGAAGGACGCCCTCCATCCGAGGCTGAGCCAGGAACCAACACCTTGGTAAATATAATCATGCGGGTACATTTCTGTCGTTGTCGTCGTCGGTAGTGCCGTCGTCCTCCTCCTCCATTCCTGCAGCCGCTTCACCTCCCTCTCTTCTTCCTCCTCATCCGCCTCGCCCTTTCCCCTCCGCCTTCCCCTGGCCATAACGCATTCGGGCTTTCGGCTCCAAGTGCGGGGTGGTCGCGCCTTGCCTTGGGTGCTTTCCCAAGTGGGCTCCAGGAAGACAAACCTAATCCAAGCCGGCCCTTCGCCTTGTCCTGCTGCTACTGCTCTCCCTCCCCCTCCCCCGCCTCCTCCTCCTCCTCCTCCTCCTCCACCTCCTCCTCCTCCTCCTCCTCCTCCTCCTCCTCCCCCTTCACCTCCTCCTCCTCCTCCTGCTGCTCCTCCTCCTCATCATCACATCATCATCCCCCTCCTCTCTCCTCTCTCCCCTGTCCTCCTCCTCCTCCTCCTGCCCCTTCCCTTCCTCCTCCTTCTCTTCCTCTTCCGCCTTCTCCTCCTTCTACTCCTCCTCCCCCCCTCCTCCTTCCTCATCGTCCTCCCCTTCTCCTTTCTCCTTCTCCCCCTTTCCCTCTCCGTCCCCTCCTCCTCTCTCCTCCTTCCTCCTCCCTCTCCTCCCCCTTTCCCCCGCTGCCAGCGCCGACGCCGACGACGCCGATGCCGCCGACGACGGCGGCGTCGACGGCGGGAGCGTCCCGCCCGCCTCCGCGGGGCGCAGCAGCCTGCCGAGCAGCTCCTCCAGCCGCGTGGCGCACGGCTCTGGCGGGGGCGCGCCTCCCCGGGCGCATCCGACGTCGCCGCTGCCGTCGGCGTCTGCGGCGTCGTTTTCGTCGTCGTCGTCGTTGTCGTCGTCGTCGTCGTCGTCGTCGTCGTCGTCGTCGTCGTCATCGACGGCGTCGTCGTCGTCGTCGTCGGCGGCTGCGGCGGTGTTGTCGGTGGCGGCGTCGGCGGCGGAGTCGGCGGCGGCGTCGTCATCGTCGTCGTCGGCGTTGCCGCCACCGTGACATGGTGGTGGTGGCGTTGTGAGGAGGAGGAGGAGGAGGAGGAGGAGGAGGAGGAGGAGGAGGCGGAGGAGGAACAGGAGCAGGAGCAGGAGCAGGAGCAGGAGCAAAAGCAGGAGCAGGAGGAGGAGGAGCAGGAGCAGGAGCAGGAGGAGGAGGAGGAGGAGGAGGAGGAGGAGGAGAAGGAGGAGGAGGAGGAGGAGCAGGACGAGGAGGACGAGGAGGAGCAGGAGGATGAGGAGGAGCCGCCAGTACCCAGGTACTGTACCGCCTGCATCTTGAAGGCTTGTGAGGCAGGAGGAGGGGGGAAGGACACTGATGGCGCAGATGATGTTGAGGAAGAGGAGGGGATGACAAAGAGGAGGACGAGGCGCACTTGGACCACACCGGCCGAAGGATGCACCTCACGACTGGCCGAGGCCAGGGCCGTAGCCGCCGCAACCTCACGCTCCCAGCCAGCAGCCAGGCCCGTCTTCGGTGGCCCAGCAAAACAGGGAAGCTTACCAGAAGCAATGCGGGCTGAGCTCCCTGGCCCTGTCTTCGAAGGGGAGGAGCCTCCAGCAAACTTGCGCCCGTCAGCGGTGGCTGTACGACCGCAATCATGGCAGACAAACGTGCCGCACCGGTCCCAGACCCCCCTCGGGCAAGGGGAACTGCAACGCGTGAATCCGCAGACCACCACGGGCCCCGGAACCGAAAAGACAACACCCTGGGGCCAACTCTGGGCCACCTCCGAAGTGCACTCGGAGGCGCAGAGATCCAGCAGCTTGCTTCGGTTCGAGAGACCCCCGCAACGGGGAGCAGCGGCAGCGCTCGCCACACGCTCGGGCGCGCTGCGGGGACCCGCGCGCGCGCTGCTTCTGTCCCTCGAGGTGCTGGGACGGGCCCTCTCATCGACTACACGCAAGAGTGACCCTGGGTAAGGGTGACCTTTGGTGCGCGGCTTTTGGGGGAGCCGCGGGGGGACCAAACACGAGCGCGCAGGACGCTACTACCGCATCGCGTTCGGCGATGGGGGGACCCAATTGGGCCCCGCACCGAAGGTCACTCCGGCGAAAGGTCACTCTTACTTGGAAGCTGGGCGAGGGCTGGCAAACCCGTGGCTGCAACAGCGCTCTCCCTGGAAGAGAAAAAACACATTTCCGGGCTCAAGCTCAACGCACTGAATAGTAAACGGGCTGCTTACCGGAAGAAAAAAACACAACGTTTCGGAGCTCCGTTTCAGTAAGCACGGGTTTGCCAGCCGTCGCCGGGCTTCCCGGAAGAACAACAAAAACAACATCCTGGAGCTCCGTCTTAGCAGCCACGGGCTGGCCGGCCGTCGCCTGGCTTCTGACTTACGTCTAGTCCCTCTCAGGAGCCCGCGGGCCGTCCCCGGCCTCGAGTGGGGTCCGGCGCGGCCGAGTCCGCACGGGGGCCCTGGGAGCTCCTCCTCCCGAGGAGGGCGGCGGCGGCGGCGTCCCGCGGAAGCGCCGGCAGCGGCAGCGCCACCACGAGGCCGGCCGTCCAGCTCCTTTTTGCCGCAGGCCTCGCCCGCAGCTTTTCGTCCGCCGCTGCGTTTGTCGGCAGTCGTGGCTGCATTGGAGAGGACGCGCGAGAGGACATCAGAGGAGGAGGAGGAGGAGGAGGAGGAGGATGAGGAGAAGGAGGAGGAGGAGAAGGAGAAGGAGGAGGGAGATGGGGATGGACGATGAGGAAAAAGGAGAAGGCGAGGGGAAGAGGAGGAGGGGAGGAGGAGGGGATGGAAGAGAGGAGAAGGATGATGAGGAGGGGAGGGCGGAGGAGGAGGAGGAGGAGGAGGAGGAGGAGGAGGAGGAGGAGGACAGACCCTTCCGAGGGCCACGTTGCCACAGGAGTGAAGAAGGCACGGGTCGCGAAACACAGGACACAAGGGTGCCCTCGATTTGGCATGGTCGACCTTCTGATCAACCTCGACTGCACTGCAACAGGATCATCTGGATCTACATGATAGGGATGACGAGCCCACTCGACCGAAACAGCGCCCTCTCCACGAGAATCCACGGCCCTACGGATGCGGAGCCACAGGTCCCCGCTCCGCCCATCACGCGCACGAGCCCTCCCCCGCTCCCACCCGTTAATCAGAAGCTTGCGATCGGTGACAAACCGCACAGGCGCCTTTGAGCCCTCCAAAGCCAAGGCGAAAACATAGAGCTCAGCGCGGGGAACCATCCGAGTGCGTCCCGGGAGCCCAGCGTACACCCCTCCCAGAACAGCCCAGCTGGTGGGACCCGCCTTTGTCAAGAACAGCAGCACTGGACCCGCACCTGCGACGGCGGGGATCAGTCGAACAACGGCCTCCCGGACCATCTCCGACGACAGCGATGACCGATCCAGACTCACAGCAGTCGGCGAGCGAGATCCCGTGAACATCATCTAAGGAACAGGCCGTCCCAGAGTCCACAAAAGACGGGTTAGTGAGCATGGCGGGAGGAACTCCCCCAGCCCACATCGGGGAGAAGCCTGAGCACCAGCCAAGACTTGGGGGGCAAGACTGTCGCTCTTAGAGTAATCCTCATGTCCGTCGTTGGCTTTGGGGAGCCACATATATACACACTATACACATATATATATATATATGTACATACGTATGTATCATGTGTGTATTTGTGCGTGTGCGTATGTATTTAAGCAGGTCTATGCGGCCACGTGTGTGTCTGTATTCCCTGTGCATGAGAGTCTCGGATCGTTTCTTACAGCGGGGGCCCAACCGAACCACGGACGAATCTAGCGGAAAGCGCCTGACCGTGTCCGAGGGGCTCCCCCAATGACGAACGTGGCAAACCCCGCCCTTGGCGAACCGAGCCAACTCGCGTCGAAGGAGGAAAAGGTCTCCTCCTTCCTTCAGGTCGGTCCCCGCTTCGTGCCGGGCCGTTGCAACTCAAAACTGACAGCTAAGGTCCGAACATAATTCCTCCAATTCAGAAACTTCGGATCCAGGAAAGTCAACACCTGGCTTGGTGGAGGTTTGGAATGACCAGTCCTTCACAAATTCCTGGAGGGCACGGCGCCGCCAGCAGGCAGCTTCTGTGGGTTCCCATCCAACGTTCAACAAAGTGGCTTGAACAGCCGACTCAGGACCCCAAAACTTGCGCCGCCTGCCGCGACCAGCGCGCCCGAGGAGACAAAGAGGCTCCCCCCAGGCCTTTTTTCATTCATTTCTGACATGGTGCCGAGGGTGCTTCTGCCAGCAAACTGAAAACTCCGAAACAGGCTGCCTGCGAAGCTCAACCCCGAAATCCTTCAACCCGAAATAGGCTCAGGTTGCGCATGTCCTCCTACAGGCGGATTTTTGACGAAAAAGAAAGCATGGCCAACACAAACTCAAACATGGCCAACAATAACCCGACCATCGTCCCCGGACACTTTTTGACTATTCTTGAGTACAGTGCGGGCGCGGCCGCAAGAAACCCTCGCAAGAAACCCAACCCTGAGAACCCGTGCGCGAGGTGCACCTGAGGGGAAACCTGGAACACCCTGAACGCAGCAGCTCCTTCAACGGCTGCGGGAAGTCACCGCGCAGCGCGAGGAGCGAAGAAAGCCAGGATCCCCTGACGAAAAGCAGATGGTTTCTTGATGCGCACCCCCACTGTATTCGTCCTGTAGAGGGACCTGCGCGACTTGAAAGCAGGCCTCCAAAGCCGTGGCAAGGCGCCACCGCCCGACGGAGCTGGCCGCAGGCCGACGGGGCCGCCGGCCTGCCTGCGCAGCGCAAATCACTGAAATGGGAGACAGCCCCGGCACCTGGTGAGCAGAAGTGCCCTCAGGAAGTGCCCCCGAGGAGGAGGAGGAGGAGGAGGAGGAGGAGGAGGAGGACCAGTGGAAACCCAAGAGTCATCGACGATGTTGGAATTAACCCTCCCTCCAAGCTCCATGAGGAGGAGGAGGAGGAGGAGGAGGACGAGGAGGAGGACCAGAGGAAACGCAAGAGTCATCAACGATGTTGGAATTAACCCTCCCTCCAAGCTCCATGAGGAGGAGGAGGAGGAGGACCAGTGGAAACGCAAGAGTCATCAACGATGTTGGAATTAACCCTCCCTCCAAGCTCCATCTTCATAGGCCCCTACAACGGTTCATTTCCATTGAGGGAACTGCCTCGTTGGAAGACAACAGTTTGAAGATCCTGAAGCGTGCCAAGACATTGTTCGCGGGATTTCAACGCCACGTATCAACCTGACTGCTGCATCTTGACGATCCAGAATCGTGCCAGAACGCCACTTTTAGGGTCTTCAACATAGCGAATCAACATAACTGTTGCGCCCGCAAAACCCTGAATCCTTCCAAAACATGCTTTCTGGTGCGTTGATCATGGGAATCAATGGAACTTTTGCGAACTGTAAAAACGAATGCACGCGGCGCTAAGGCGAGAACCACACTTTTTCAAAAAGAACCACCCTCAATCCGTGAAGCTCTTGCAGTTCTTTGTTTGGAAAGGAACCGCCCTCAATCCGTGAAGCTCTTGCATTTTTTTGCAACACATGTGCGCGGCGCTACGGCGAGAGCCACATTTTGAAAACCATCCTCCCTCAATCCGTGAAGCCCTTGCAAATGTTTAACCAGAATGTGCGCGGCGCTGAGACGAGAACCACATTTTGAAAAAGAACCGCCCTCGATCCGTGAAGCTCTTGCAATTTTTAAGACGAGTGTGCGCGGCGCTAAGGCGAGAGCCACATTTTGAAGACCACCCGCCCTCCATCTGTGAAACGGTTCTCACTTTTTAAGCTTCAGAGATCATACATGGTGAGACAGTCTCAGGCGAAACGCTCGGCCCGCCCTAAAAACTTGCTTCGGGGTGCGACAGAAGGGAATTATCTATAAACATATATTTTTGTATAAGGAGAAGGAATGGAGGAGAAGGAGGAGCAACAAGAAAAAAAAGAAGGAGAAAGAGGAGGAGAAGGAGGAGGGGGACGAGGAGGAGGAGGAGGAGGAAAGGGACGAGGAGGAGGAGGAGGACAAGAGGGACGAGGAGGAGGAGGATGAGGAGGAGGACCAGTGTAAACCCAAGAGTCATCAACGATGTTGGAATTAAGCCTCCCTCCAAAATCCCTCTTCATACGCCCCTACAACGGTTCATTTCCATGGAAGGAACTGCCTCGTTGGAAGACAAACGTTTGAATATCTGCAACATGCCAAAGAATTGTTCTCGGGATTTCAACGCTACATGTCAGCCTGACTGCTGCGTTTTGGCGATCTGGAATCGTGCCATAACACCATTTTTTAGATTTCAACACCGCGAATCAAGATAACTGTTGCACCCGCATAATCCTGAATCCTTCCAAACACCCTTTTTGGTACGTTGATCATGGAAATCAATCAATGAAACTCTTGCATTTCTTTTGAAACGAATGTACGCGGCGCTGAGGCGCGAACCACATTTTGAAACCCACCCGCCCTCAATCCGTGAAGCTCTTGCAAACTCTTGCAAATAATGTGCGCGGCGCTACGGCGAGAACCACATTTTGAAAAAGAACCGCCCTCAATTCGTGAAGCTCCTACAATTTTTTTGAAAACGAATGTGCGCGGCGCTACGGCGAGACCCACATGTTGAAAACCACCCGCCCTCAATCCGTGAAACCCTTGCACATTTTTACAAGTAGTGTGCGCGGCGCTAAGGCGAGAGCCACATTTTGAAGACCACCCGCCCTCCATCTGTGAAGCTGTTGCCACTTTTTAAGCTTCAGGGTCGTAACCGGTGAGGAAGTCTCAGGCGAAACGCCCAGCCCGCCCTAAAAACTTGCTTCGGGGTGCGACAGGGAGGAGTTATATGTATATATATATATATATGTATATATATATATTATATATATATATATATATATATATATACAAGTGGCACGTGTGTGCCCAGGCTCATACAACAAGCTGAAGGGGCGTTTGAAGCAGGAGTGACATGCAACAGCGAAGTCGCACTCGAGCGCAAGTGGGGTTGCCACACCTTGCGATGTGTGTACCAGGGCCCCCCAGGAAGCCTCAGGAGGCCCGACTTGGATACCAGAAGAGGCTCCAGGAGGCCCCAGGATTGTGAGTGTTGTGTGTGTGTGTGTGTGTGTGTGTGATGTGTGCTTTGTGTGGTGCGTGCTTTTTGTGTGTTGTCGGTGTTGTGTGTGTGTGTGTGTATGTTATGTTTGTCTAGCGTGTGATGTGTTGGGCGTGATTTGTGTCTCTGTGCGTGCATGTAGTTCTGAAGCCCCAGGAGGCCCCAGGCGGCCTCAGCAGGCCCAGGAGAACTCCAGGAGGCTCCGAGGCGGGGTCTGGGGTACCAGAAGGTCCAGAAAGCCCCAGGAGGCCCCAGGAGGTTCCAGGAGGCCCCCAGGAGGCTCCGAGGAGGGGTCTGGGGCTCGATTTTGGGAGGATGTCTCAGGCGAATCCGCCATTCTCTGAGAATCGGGGTCAACATTATTGAAATTACCATGTGTTTTTGAAGGTTTTATGTTAACATGTTGAAATTCCCATGTGTTTTTGGACCTCTCCTTCACGATCTGCGTGAGGGGTGCCACCGATTTTCAGAATTTCGAGGATGTCCTTAGCGAAACGGCCATTAAAATCAAAGACGGACGCACGCACGGACGCATTAATCCCCTCTGAGCTCTACTCCCTCGGAGAGGTGCGTATGAGAATATGTATGTATGTATATTGATATATTATAAGGAGAAGGAATGGAGGAGGAGGAGCAGGAGGAGGAGGAGGAGGAGGAGGAGGAGGAGGAGGCAGGAGAGGAGGAGGAGGAGGAGGAGGAAGGAGGAGAAGCGGAGGGAGGAGGAGGAGGAGAGGAGGGAGGAGGAGGGGGGGGAGGAGGAGGAGGAGAGGAGGAGGAGAAGAGGGGGAGGAGGAGGAGGAGGAGGAGGAGGAGGAGGAGGAGGAGGAGGAGGAGGAGGAGAGGAGGAGGAGGAGGAGGAGGGAGGAGGAGAGGAGGAGGAGGAGGCAGGAGGAGGAGGAGGAGGAGGAGGAGGAGGAGGAGGAGGAGGAGGGCCGGCAAGGCAAGGCAGCGGCGGCCCTCCCTGGCGCCCTTCGTTTGCCCTGTGCAGGGGCCTCCAGAAGGCCCCTCGCGTCGCTGCGGCTGGATCCGCCCTGGAGAACGGGCCCAGGGTTAGATCGGGCGTGTCCCCCCTACCGGGGAATTTTCAACGAAAAATGAAACATACAAAAAACATACTCCAAAATGGTTTAGAAATGCTCCAAAAATACTCCCCAGACTATTTTTTGGACTGTTTTTGAATATTCCCCCTGTAGAGGGACAGGCCCGACTTAAGCTCAGGGCCGATTTTGGTCAGTACCAGAGCCCCTCACGAGCCTTCCTGACGGAAGTGTTACGCCTCATCCCACGAACCCTAAACGCTCTGCGGCTCGCGGCCTTGAGTCGCGCGCTGGGTTTGGCCACGCCACGGAACCTACCAGCACCGACATCAACCCCGAGATCAAGCCTCGCCCTGGGAAAAGTGACTGGCATACCGATTTCATGGAGGAGGTCAGCAGCCCTCCTCCCGAGTTTAGGAGAAGCAGACATCAAACCAGTCTTGCTGGGAGCAGACAGGCGCCCCCTGGGAACTTCCTCGCTGAAAGCAATCGAGGGCCCGACTATACCTAGCTCGACTCTAGCTTCAACGCCTTCCACACGCGACACTCTGCCATCGATGCATGCTCAAATCGACGAGAAAAAACTCTCTCGTGAACGGCATCCGACATAAGATGACTGAAAATCTTGGCCGCCCGCATGCCGTGGGGGGACCCCACCACCAGAGAACGAGAAGGGCAGCTCGGCTCCGTCACCCCTTGCTGGCCCCTGAGCCCTCGAGGAGCCGCGCAACGCTGAGTCTCCAGACTCATAACCATGGCGGGACACCGCAGCCCGAACGCAACACGACCTACGAACACTCAAGAGCCACTGCCGTGCAACTTTCCGACGTCGAACAGCAAACTGGCCACCGGAAGCCCCATACTTAGGGCAGCTTCGTCCGGGAGGGAGCGGAGAAGGGCGGCGCTTGAATGGCAGACCTCCCCGCGATCGCAGTGTCCGAAGAGATCTCCGACCCCCCTGGGCCGATGCGAAGCGAGGCCGTACCGCACGCGTGACCAAATCAGGGTGGACTCTGGCAGCAGCCCTACGGCCCTCGCGCCTCCACGAGGCTTCGGACGCGACGCTCCTACAGAGGAAAGCATCTGCGTTGGCCAGACGTTCTCGTGCTCAAGCCTGCCTCTGGGCATCGCTCGGACGTCCATTCCCTGTTTTTTTTCGGTTTCGTGCGTGGTTTTTTTGCCAAATGATCAAGGATGCTCCTCGATGGTCCTCGCCGAAAGGAAACATACACACGTCCGAGCGATGCCAAGTCTGCGTTGGCCAGACGCTCTCGTGCTCAAGCCCGCCCAGGAGGTCCAGAACCTCCGCCCGTCCCTCGGGAGCGGGCCTCCTTGCAGACCCGCAGGCGCCAACCCGCTCACTCCCCGGGCTCTGGCAGACAACGATTGATAACCAGCTTCGAACTTATCCCTATCCCCAAGACGGGCGAGCAAAACGCGAGGACAATCTTAGGGACAGGCCCTCAGAAACCGAGGGAATCCTCAAGATCGGCATCGAGGTGAGCTGATGTCAAACATAGGGATAAAGATATGCTTCAAACTGGTAAATTGAACGACCGTCTGGAACCGCTCCAACGCCAGTTCGGGGATCTCTTCCGTACGGGCAATTCTACTTGCCTCCGAAACTATACTTTCAACCTCGCGGTAAGATTCCACGAGATCGGTCCAAACATCTGACCGCGCCTCCTTGCGGCTCTCCTGCTGCTTGATAGGTTCAGCAACCGAGTCCCCAAGGCCAGGAATTTCGTTGATCACGGCCTGGGAATCTAGAAGGAGGAGGAGGAGGAGGAGGAGGAGGTGGACGAAGATCAGGAGGAGGCGGAGGAGGAGGAGGAGGAGGAGGAGGAGGAGGAGGAGGAGGAGGAGGAGGAGGAGGAGGAGGAGAAGAAGGAGGAGGAGGAGGAGGAGGAGGAGGAGGAGGGGAGGCGAGAGGAGGCGGGAGGAGGCGGGAGGAGGAGGGAGGAGGAGGAGGAGGAGGAGGAGGAGGTAGGAGGAGGAGGAGGAGGAGGAGGAGGAGGAGGAGGAGGACGACGGAAGGCAAAGGGTAGGAGGAGGCCCCTCCACTGGGCGCACCGAACGCGCCCAGCGCCAAGCGCAGCGCGGCGAGCGGCAGTGCCGCGGGCGGCACCTGGCGGCACGGCCGAGGAGGGGAAAGCTTCTGAGGCTGGCTTTTTGGGGGGGAGAAGGGGAGGGCAGCGAGGAGGAGCGCGAGGAGGGTCAGGATGAGGACGAGGGGCAGGCGGAGGGCGAGGATGAGGATGAGAGGTAGGAGGAGGAGGAGGAGGAGGATGAGGGGTGGGAGGAAGAGGAGGAGGGGGGCAGGAGGAAGGGTAGGAGGAAGAGGAGGAGGGGTTGGCTGAGGAGGAGGAGGAGGAGGAGGAGGAGGAGGAGGAGGACGAGGAGGAGGAGGAGGAGGAGGAGGAAGGGGGAGGACATCGGCCACACGCGACGCAAGAGTGACCCGTACTTAGGCCAGAATGACCTTCGGCACGCGGCTCGCCGGTCGCCGCACGCGGCGCGACAGCGGCAGCCTCCGCGCCCGGCTTTGCTCTCGAACGCCGCGCACCAAAGACTTCTCCAGGCAAGGGCCAACCCTACGTGTAGCCGCGCATAGAGAGGGATACAAACATATACGCATATTTACGTATACATATGTATGTGTATATACATACACACATACACACACATATATATATATGCATATGAATGTATATACAAACACACACATATATACACATATATATATATATATGTATAAACCAGAATACACCTACACATACATATACATATACACACACATATATACATTCAGAGAGAGAGAGAGAGAGAGAGAGAGAGAGAGAGAGAGAGAGAAAAAAAGAGAGAGAGAGAGATGAAGAAAGAGAGCGAGGAGGAACGACACGGGGGGACTGGCTCAGGGGGGAGGCGCGGACTTGGAATCGGCGATGCCTCGCCGACGGATCGGCGATGCGCCACCCGCGGCGAAGCCGCATGCTCCTGGCCGCAGTGGGGCACCCCGGCCCTGAGCGGCGAGGCACGGGCGATCGGGAGTCGAGGCTTCCTCCCTTTCTGCAGTTAACTCGGGCTGTAGGGGAGCTACAGGGCTAGTATATTCACAGGAATCGATTTCGAGACATCAGGCGCGTCTGCCTGCCGAATCCAGAGCTCAGAACTCGGTGTGCTGCCCGAGCTAGGTCCGCAGAACTAGGACTTACGTCGGGCGTGTCCCCCTTACAGGAGGATTTTCGACGAGAAATCAGAAGTACCCTGAACATGTCCCCCAAAAGGCCGAAAAAATACGCAAAAAAATGGTCCCCAGCCTAAATTTTTGGACTATTTTCGGGGTACTCTTTATTTTTCGTCGAAAGCCCCTCTGTAGGGGGACAGGCCCGACTTAATCCTGGAACCCCGCCCCCCCCCCCCTGCCAGCACCCCCGAGAAAGGGCCTCCCCCTCTTGACCTCATCCGTGATCGGTATCTTAGGATGTGTGTTGGCCCTGTTTGGGCCTCCAGGCACCTCTAAGGGCTTCCTTAGGGGAACAAGAAGTGACATAAACATAAAAACTCGGAGGTCCGCGCGGATTTCTCGGGTCGGCGCTGGACCCCCTCCCTGGCGCGCGGAGCGCGCCAGGGGCGGCGCCGGAGGCGCCGCCAGGGGGCCCCAGCGCCGATCCGAGAAATCCGCGCGGACCTCCGAGTTTTCATGTTTAGGTCACTTCTCGCTCCCATGTTCCTGGAACGCTGCATGCGGATCGTGCGCACGCGTAAGCTTTGCGGTGAAGGGGGTGAGGTCTCCACCCTGCGAGAGCGAAGCTGCCACGCGCGCGGCCGGAACGCGCGCGCGGGCTGGCTCGGGACGTGCGGGAGACTCCTTGCTGGACGAAACTGTGTTGTTGTGCCGTTTTTTTTTTTTTTTTTTTTTTTTTTTTTTTTTTTTTTTTTTTTTTTTTTTTTTTTTTTTTTTTTTTTTTTTTTTTTATATATATATATATATATATATATATATATATATATATAGATGTTTTTTTTTGTGTTTTCGTTTCACCCCCTGAAATATTCAACACCACTGGAGAGGCGAACCAGAGGTGAGGGTGTGGTACAACTTTTGGGCCCTCGGGCTATAACAGCAAGGGCTCCTGCCCGAGACCACCTCGCGCAGCACTCAGGGGCCGCCCAGTGGCTCGAGACTCCCGCTCCATTTTGCTCGAGACTCGCGCTCTCGCTTGGGACAGATAGTCATAATCTATTCAGGAGTCGCGCTCTCGGTGCTCAGGAGCAGTGCTCTCGCTTGAGACTTCCTCGCAATCAGATCAGGCGTCGCGCTCTGCACTCTCGCCCCGGACCTCCCCACATGCTATTTGTCAATCGTGCTCTCGCCCGAGCTGCTGAGCTACACGACGGGTACGAGCATCATCTCGACGTTGAGCCGCGTGTCGCTGACCGCTGCGGCGGGTGCCGGCTGCGCAGCACTGGACAGCGCAACTGGGAGCACCAGCGCTGAGCAACGCGGCGGACACGAGCATCTCCGCGCTGAGCAGCAGTGCGTCGGAGAGCAGCAGCTCTACCCTGACGTCCACGTGCGGGGCGAGTGCTGTCTCGAGCACCATGTTGCCGACCATCGTGACGGGTGCCAGCTGCACATCCCTGAGCGGCGCGGATGGGTACAACGGCTCGTCCCCGACGTCCACGTGTGAGGCGACTACTGCATCAAGTACCGCGTCGCGGGACAGCACGACGGGAACTAGCGCCCTGACTTTGAACGGCACGTCGGAGCAGCTGGATCCTGATGCCCACGAATGGGGCGAGTACTGTCTTGAGGACTACGTCACTGACCACCACGACGGGTGCCGCCTCGCGCCGTTGAGCAACGCGTCGGCGAACACCAGCTCGGCCCTGGCGTGCGCCAACGGAACGAACACTGTCTCGAGTACCGCGTCACTGAGCTGTACGCTGACCACCGCGGCGGGTGCCGACAGCGCATCGCTCAGCAACGCGACCGGGCGCACCAGCGCCCTGACGTGCGCCGACACAATGTCGAGCATCACGCCGCTGAACTCCGCGACCGGCATGGGCAACTCCACGCTGACCACCACGCCGGGGAGAAACAGCTCGACCCCCGAACCCACGAGTGGGACGACTATTGTCTCGAGGAGGAGGAGGAGGAGGAGGAGGAGGAGGAGGAGGAGGAGTACCATGTCGCTGACCACTACGGCGGGCACCAGCTGCGCATTTTGAACCACACGACTTGGGAGCAGCACGTCGACCCTGAAGGCCATTCATGGGACGAGTGCCGCCTCGTGCACTCGCGCGCTACCAAAGTGCACGGCCCAGAATTTCCGCGATGCACACTGGCCCACCGGGGGTGGGATGTGTGCATCTGGTCATTTCCAGGCCGCATTGGCCAACTGGAGGTGGGATGCGAGCGTCGTCCAGATTCCACGAGCCGCACTGGCCCACTGGAGGGGGGATGCGAGCGTCTCCTCACTTCCACGAGCCGCGTTGGCCCAGTCGGAGTGGGATGCGCACTTCGACCAGCGCGTCGGCGAGCACCAGCTCGACCCTGACGTGCGAAGTGCGCAGACCGCCTGGGTCGCCCTTCATCAGGCCCGCTCGCCCGCTCGCCCCAGGGTGTCCCCCCACGCGAGCGAGCAGGCGCGCCTATATGCCCACCTGTAACACACCAATGCTACTACTAATTTCTGAATGCGTTGCGCGAGCTGTTGGCTACCTTTCCGTGGCTTATGCGCTGGGCCGCCGCGGGGGATGCCCCAAGGTGGGGTCGTCTCTGACGCAGGTGCCGCATCGCGCATGCCAGCGCGCATGCAAAAGCGGCGCTGTTTGCCATGGGTGCGCAGACGGGCCCTTGAGTGGCCTGATTACCGCAGACCCGCTTTGCTTTCCAGTCGTGGCTCGCACGGACCGCGCCAGGGGGGAAGGATACCCGTACCCTTGCTCGCACGCGACGCCCCCCGCCTTGTGAGGAAGGCCTGCGGGGCGCTTGCACCTTCGGGGCCGAAACGAACCTTCGTCTGAAGTGGTACGCATACGCGTCTCCCTCGCTCCCTTTCTGCTTCTCCCTTCCCACCCCCCCTCCTGCTCGAGGGGAGGGGGAGGGATCGAGGGGAGGGGGGGAGAGGGACGGAGAGAGGGGGGAATGAGGGAGGGAAAACACTATAGGGGGGGGGGGTACCGGGGCGGCAGTGCGCAGCGACAGGAGTGAGGGGATGTGAATACGGTACGAGAGATGATGAGCTGGTGACGGACGGGCCCGTCTGCCTGCCGTGGCTTTCCCTTCCTCCCTCCCGTTCCCCCTGCTCCTCCTCCCACGCCCCCTTCGCCGCTGCTGTCTCCCACGCCCAGGAGGGGCTAAGTCCAGACGGAATGCGCCCAGCTCCGTATGGACTTTGCCGCCTAGCACGAGAGGCCAAATCCAGACGGAGAAATACCAGATGGAGACCGAGCGCTCCGTATGGACTTACTGACTTAGCCTCCGCCGACCCGCCTGCCCGCCCGCTTGCCCTGTCCCGCCGGCCCTGGCTTCCCGCCTGCGCGCTCGTCTTCCGTGCTTGCTCTTCCCCCCTCCTCTCCCCCCCTGTCTGTCCAGGCAGCACGGGCTGCTGGGAGACGCTGCGACGGACGAGGGGGAGATGGGCAGGGAGGTGGACGAGGAAGGGGTGCAAATTGGGAGGCGAGGGATGGGAGGACGAGGAGAGGCAGAACGCGGAGGAGGGAAGAGAAAGAGGCAGGAGAGCCGCTCGGCTCGGCTCGGCCCGGGGGGTGCATGCCGTCTGACCGGTGCTGCCCCTGCTGCAGCAGCATCTGCCGCCCCCCGACAAGCTGCCCGGCCTCGAGGGCACACGCTCAGGACGAAGCACGGGGGGGGATGCCGGGACGCGGCGCCCAGGCGAGCACCGGAGGCGGAGGCGGAGGCGGGGCACGAGGCAGAACACAGGGCACGGGCACGGCGGAGCGCGCCCGATCGAGGGCCCCGAGCGCGGCTCTGCGGCTCTCCGAGCAAACGCGCCGCTCGGGCGCGCCTCGGGCTCGGCTGCGTTGCGCCCCTCTCGCTGCTGCCCTCTCTCGGGCCGCTCGAGTCCAGCTCCTGCCTCGCACCTCACATCGTTCCTCTCGCTGGCCACCTGAACAACTTCCTTCCTCCACCCTCCACCTCCTCCTCCTCCTCCTCCTCCTCCTCCATGTTGCTCGTCTTGCTGCCGCTCCTCCTCCGTGGCAGCAGCGCATCGAGCTGGGGAAAGCCGAGCACCTCCTCCCCGTATATCTCCTCCAGCGGGGCGTAGACCAAGCCTCGGCGCTCTGTCAACAAAACACGTGCACAACTCGATCGCGCCCGACCCGAACTCGATTACTCTGCATTGAGCTTGACATTGGACATGTCCCCGCCTTATTCAGACAAGTCATCATTCGAACCTCGAGCTCAACGTCATCGCCTGGGCCTCGCGGCAGCCACCCGCGCACAATCGGATGTCGGCAACGCCCCTCGACGGCGGCAGGGAATGCGTGCCGATTCTTTTGCGCAGTCTGGCTGTGCTCCCCTGGACAACATCTCAGCGGCCCCTTCCAATGAATGCCTCGTCGGGCACCGCTCTGACATGTGTACCCTGCTTGGACCTCACGTGCCGTGGACGAAGGTCGCCCGCCTTCCCGTGCTGCGCCCTCTCCTCTCGTGGGGCCGACTCTCTTCGACTCCCCAGAGGCCTCCCCGGCCTCCCCTGCCAGGAGAAACCTTGGGGCTGCACACGGACGGCTCCCCCGCCGAGGCGATCTCAACTTCAGCGGGCGAAGAGTGGTTCAGCATACCCATCGGTCGGAAGAAGTAGGTAGAAAAATGGAGTAGGAAGGCGTTGAAAGTAGATTGGGTGTCCGCCCGCCCCCGAAAGAGGACGGGAAAGGTGAAGCCACTCGATCATTGAAGTAGAAAGGCGCTTAAAGTAGATTGGAATCTGGGAATTCACAAGTACCTACTTTCAACGACCGATGGGTATAGCATAACCCTGTCCGCGCCGGCCCCAGGGCGGCTGGGGAGTCTCTACCCCCACCTGCCATGGTGAGGATGTGAATTTCCCAGTCGCTCTTCGGGACAGGCGCCCCCGATCGCGGAGGCGTCTGCCTCAGACCGCTCCTCGCCCGCAAGCAGCTGGCCCCAGCAAGCCTTGGGTCGGGCCTGTCCTCCTACCGGCGGACTTTGGACGAGAAATGAAACATGGCCAACAAATGCTCACGCACCGTCAAACATAGCAGGAACAACCATCGTTCCCAGACCATTTTTTGACTGCTCTTGAATTTTTAGAGGCCTCCTAAATGGGGTCGGAGTAGATGGGGTCGGAGGATCGCGTCGCATCGCCGATACATCTGCGATGCATCGGCGATGTATTGGCGATGCACCGGCGATGTATCGTCGACGTGGGCGATGCATCGGCGACGTCGACGTGAAGCACAACGGGCTCCACATCGAGCCGCATCGCCGATGCATCGGCGATGCGGAATGATCCTTCGACCCCATCTGCTCCGACCCCATCTAGGAGGCCTAGAATGAAGTCGGGCCTGTCCCCCTACAGAGGGGTTCGACGAAAAATAAAGAGTACCCCCAAAAAAATCCAAAAATAGTCTGGGGACTATTTTTTTAATATTTTTGGACCTTTTGAAATATTTTTTTTTGATATCTTTTATTCTTCGTCGAAGATCCCCCTGTAGGGGGACACGCCCGACTTAAGCCTAGACTTTTCCTCCTGTTGAGGGCCGTGCCCGACGGAAGGCCCGCCCCCCTCCCCCAAAACGCGTCCTCTGGGGGCGGCCTCGGCGCCTCGTCCCCCTGGGGGGGGGGGGGGGGGGTGCGCCCCCCCCCCTCCCCCCTAGGGGCGCTGCCCCCCCCAGGGGGGCGCCGCTCCCCCTCCCCGCCCCCCTGGAAGGGAGGGGGGTGGGGGGGGGCGCCGCCCCTTCCCCCCCCCCCCCCGGGGCGCCGCCCGAAGGCGGCGCGGGGGTCGGGCCGGCGCGAAAGGGGGGGATAGCAAAGGGGGGGTTTGAGACTCAGCTCGCGTGTGGCTGACTTTCCCGGCGCCGCCCGGCGCCGGAGGCGGCCCCGCGTCGAGGCATGGGCCCCTCGGCGGGGCCGAGACCAGCTGCATGTAGCAGATTTCGTACCCCCCCCTTTCCCAATCCCCCCCTTTCGTCCGGCCCGATGGGGGGGGGACGAGATCGCCACAGACCGACCTCAGGCCTGCTGAGGCTAGATTTCGGTCGGGCGCGTCCTCCTGCAGGCGGGCTTTGGGGACGAACAGTGAAAGATACACGTCGTGTCTTTCTGATCGTGCTCACTTCTCATGGTGCTCGTTTCTAATTGTTCCTGGCCCCCTAGTGGCCAGGAAGAGGCCCAGGATAGTTCAATTAGAAATGAAAAGATCTTGGCCCCCCAAAAAATCGAAGCACTTTCGAAGAATTCGAAATGAACGATGTGTACTTGCAGCATGCTCGAAAACAGTCAACAATAGGGAAAAGATCGTCCACAGACGGTTTTGGACAATCTTGGAGTGCTCCTCCTGGAGAGGGACGTGCCCGACGTAAGGCCAGCCGGGACTGTCTCCAGGGGCTGCCTGTGCGCAGGCCTACAGCCAGAACGTGTAATTATCAAGGGCGGGTTGTAGGGACGCAGGGCCCTTGGAGGCCGAAGTGGAGACTTCTTGGGCGGCGGGCGACCAGTGACAATGGCAGAGGACGGGCCGCAGAGGCAAGGACACAAGGACACCCTAGAGGAAGGCGCGCGTCCATGCGAGGCGCGTTGACGGTACGTCTTTCCAGGTCCTCGTCTCCTCCCCACTTATTTGCCTCAACCTTCCCTTCTCATCTCAGCTCCAAGCGAAGCGTGCACCGTTCGCGGCCACGGTCGTTCGGAGCGTCGCTGGGGACCTGGGACTGCAGAATGGGATGCCAGTGGCGCCCGCCTCCTCCTCCTCCTCCTCCTCCTCCATCTCCTCCTTGTGAAAGGACTCCTAGACGTGTCGGTAGGGCGGGCCGGGCGTCACCGCCGGTGACTCCCCCACCATGCATGATCCCGGAGCATTGGGTGCGGCAGAACCTCCACGGATGGAGGGCAGGCCCCGTTCTCAGCGTGCGGGCGCCCGCCTCGGCGAGCGCGCACGCTCGCCGCACGCCCGCCAGCGGCTTCGATAGGACGGAGGGCGGGCGGCCTCCGAGGCGTGGCTTTCTCGCCTTCACGCCGCGCCTCCTCGTCGCAGAGCTGCAGGAAATGGCGCGGATGGAGAGGGCTCCTTCTCAAAATGTGGCTCTCGCCTCAGCGTGGCGCGCATTCGTCTCAGACGGTTTCAGCAAATGGAGCGGATCTTGTGGTTGGCGTCCCAGGAATTGCGTCCCGGCGCGATCCAGGATTCGCGGTGTTGAAATCCCAGGATCGGTGTTATGACACGAGTCAGGGCTGTCAGGACGGAACAGTCATGTTGGTTTGCGGCGTTGTTGTCGCAGGGCAGGGTATTTGGCAAGATGGAAGGTTATCAGACGTTTGTCTTCCAGCGGGGCACCTCCTGCAGTGAAACGGGATTCTCGCAGGGGCCTTTGAAGAGGGAACTCAGAGGGAGGGTTTATGACAACCTCGTTGATGCGTCTTGGGCTTCCACTGGTCCTCCTCCTCCTCCTCCTCCTCTCCCTCCTCCATCTCCCTTGGCTCCCTCTCCCCCTGCTCCCTCCCCCTCCTTCTCCCCTCCCTCTCCCCCCGTTTCACCCTCTACTCCCTCCTCCTCCTCCTCCTCCTCCTTCTCCTCCTCCTCCCCGACTCCTCCTCGATTCTTCCTCCTGGCTCTCCTGCCGCGCCTCCTCCCCCAAGCTCGGTCCTCCTCCTGCTGCTCCCCGCTCTCCTGCTCCTCCCGGCTCTCTTGCCGCCCCTGCTGCTCCTCCTGGCGAGGCGGCGCCGCCCGCGAGAACTTCTTCCTTGTCCTCCCACGAGGAGGACGCAGCCAAAACTAGACCAAGGTCAAGACGAAGAGCAGGGCCCCTCCAACATGGACGACGAGGAGCGCGTCTGGCTCATCAATGTCCAAAAGAAAACCCAGCAAACGCTTCCGTGGCTTGCTGGCACGATGCACGCGCTACCCGCCATAGTGCAGTGTGCACGCTGCGGCCACGTCCCGCCCTTGGCCGACCGCTTGCTGGATCCAGCTTGCCGCACATCGAAAAACAAGTTCACGTTGCGACGTTCAATGTTGACGGCAAGACGCCGCAAACGAGACGAAGCCTACAAGTAACGCCTGAACAATGTTCAGGCATCAATTTCAGCATTCGCTTGAGCCGCTGTCTCTTAGGAGCCCCTGGTATCACCAACATCAACCCAACACCAAAACGTACCCGACCCTAAACACGACCAGCGCGAGCTCACAGCAGCAACGGCTCGGAGGTACAAACGCCCCGACAGAAGGAGCCCACCGCAGAATCGGCGCCCTGGAATCTGCCCGCAGCGGTGAATCCGTGCCTTCCGCCGCGCGCACGAGTCGTGACGGCGAGCGCCCAGGCGCGGCTCCATTGTTCGAGCGTTTCAGGTGCGCAGAGCTGTGCACTCAGGGCACGGTGCACAGAAAACGGCAAGAAGAGGAGGAGGAGGAGGAGGAGGAGGAGGAGGAGGAGGAGGAGGAGGAGGAGGAGGAGGAGGAGGAGGGAGGAGGAGGAGGAGGAGGCGGAGGAGGCTGCAAATCTAGAGACACATTGAGATCGCTGCGCTGCGTCTCGGCGACGGGCGGCCCGCGCCGAGCTGCCCGGGTCTCCTGGCCAACAGCCACCCCGCGCGGGGCGGGCGCAGACGCGCCGCTGCCCCAGGGTGGAGTAGGGGGTCGCCCTGCGAGAGGAGGCGTGCCACGACGCACCTCGGCCTCCTGTGGCTCACTCTATGTATCCTTTTTTTTTCTCCTCCTTCCTCCATCGGCCGTGGGCCACGCCTCGCTGAGCCTCGCCACGCGTCAGCGCCCCGCCACGGCTCGCCTCTCGCTGAGCCTGCGCACGGGGGGCCCTTGCGCACAAAAGGGCCGGGCAGGCCCCATGCCCGAAGGCTCACTTTATGTATCCGTCCCCCTCTTTCCCCTTCGTTTGCCCCTCTCCCCCTCTCGGTCTCCGCGCTGCCCGACCGATCCGCCTCTGCCCTACCCCAGAGGTCCTACGTTCTCACGTTGCCAGACGTGGAGAAAACGGATAATGATTCGGAACGCGGCTTGGACGAAGATGCTGGCAGCACCAGCCCGGCTTGAAACATCATGGGCTGTCAGTTGTGCGGACCCCAAACAATGTTAGCC